AAATTAAACTTAATATTTTTATATTATATTTTAATAATTTACCTAATTTTTCTAAATAGTAGTATTACTATGTTATATATATCATTACCTGATATCGGCGATATCACTAGGAAATAATAAAACATATGAATACCGCACTAGGAAATGACATCATTTCCTTCCTTTATTAGGAATTGTCAACATTTCCGCTAGTATATAAATATATATTTAAAATTTAAATTTAATTAAATTGTAAATAATTTGTAGCTGAACTACAATAACCTAATAAATTATGACAACATTTATTCAATATGATAATCAAATGGTTATAATAATACTTATAAAATTAAAATATATTTTTCAAGGTATACTCGTATATTTTGTAACATCGTTTTTAACATTCCTCAACGTAATATGTCATTACATCATACCATAATGTGTTATGTTAATTAATAATTTTTTGAAATTTATTTTTTAAGAAAATATATGGGATATATATCCTTTAAATTATAGTTAAAGTTTACATATTCTTCAAAATTAGTCCGCTTTTGCCTTTATTTGCCTAATACGCATACCTACTCGTAGTGGTAAATCGTAAATAAACAGGAGTTTTCGTGTCATCTATTGATCACGTTTTATGACTTTATAATATTGTAGCTGATAGATCAGGATATATTTAATATTATATGATCCATTATAACATGTTATTTTTGTTATTATTAGTAGTAGTATCTATAGTTTTATTTAGGTATAATCTTATTCATTAATAATACTATAGTACTGCAGTTTGCAGTATTACGATCTATAACTTACTAAAAAAATAAATAATGCAATATCTAAATAGAAAAAAAAATTATTATAAAAACTAACCATGTTTTGGATAAGTTACACCTATAGCAGGTTACCAATAACAATAGTTTCGTAATAAAAATAAATATTAATCCATCGTAAACAATTCAACAATTTTATAGAGTTAGTTGTACGCATTAATTTGATTTTTTTAAGATAAAAATAATGTACATAACTTAACGTTCGACCTTTGACGTTAGATATCCAACAAACTATCCAAATACTATATATATTAATAATTTAATATTATAACAATATACTTAACACATGGAAATATTATGTGTATCGTTGTTTGTAAATATACATGATTATGTGTGGCCTTTAATGTTATTCATATGGCCTAGAAATTGGTTTACGGTTCACTGGCGTTTAAAAGAAGCCTTTCGTGTAGGTACTTGCACATTTTGATGATCATATGCTGACAATAATAGCACAATAATATAATATACAAACAGCTTAGAAATAATTCAGTAACGGCACACGATTCTTACAATATTGTATACACATATACACGCCATAGTACGTATACATATTTTATCGCACTTGTTATAAATATTTTTTAAATGCAATACTTGAATTAAAAAGCATTTAAATTGAGTCTCCAATAATTATTAAAATACATTTTAAATACTTGTCAAATGAGAGATCTTTTAGACCAGATTTCCAAAGGAAAGCTTATTTGCATAAGTATATAAATATTTTTAAATAGTTTTGTAGTAGAAAGAATTTAAAGACAACACACAAATACAACTTAAATGTATATTCTGGAGATTTTTGTAGGTATTTTAAAATTTTTCATTATTTATTAAATATGTTTTTCAAATATACTTGTTCTAAATGTTCTTAAGTTAATATCAAGGAATACGCTTATGTTTAAATCAACGTTTAGATATCTATAAAAAAAAAACAACACGATGCCTTTAACTTTGAGAAGGAAATACATTAAATTATATTCAGTTTATACTTAGTATAATATGAGGTTTAATGTCAACATACAAGTCCATTATTATATTAAAGTAATACGGCTGAAATAACCAGTATTTGGCAGAATTACATATAAAATATATTAAACAAATTCTTATACATAAAATAATATTTATATTATAAATATTATATTCGGTTACTTTCTTCTTTATAGCCATTGGCAGCATTGCAAAAATAAATAAATATTTCCTTGTCTGTCCAATCTACCTCTATGTGGATAATTTAAAAATCTATTTCAGAAGCAAAAGCCAACGACCGTTCAAATTCGTCTACAACAAGCTATTTACAACCTCACCAAATGGATCCAAGCATCTAGTTTCACTTTCTCCTCAGATTAAAATCCCAATGTATAGTTTTCACTTAAATATAAAAAAATAATAATGCTATCAAAGTTCTCATTATAATTTTTGACAAAAAAATGTCCTTGAACTCATCATATCAAAAATTTTAAAAACTGAATAACTCCACGCCTTAATGTTATAAAAATTCTGTCCTATACTTAATGGAGATCCAAAACTCATGTATTAACAAAAATATACAAGAAATTTGTATTGTCCAAACTACACTATGGATCTTTCATGTAAGCATCTATAAACAAATCACTCAGAAAAAAACTTGATATAATACATAACTCAGAACTTCATATGTCGATTGATGCATATCAGTCAAGACCAATATCTAGTATTTACAACCTGGCTGATACACCTCTGTTTAAAATAAGATGACTAAAACTGATATTAAATCACGAATTAAAACTAACAAATACTGCTCTTTTCCTCGATTTAAAACAAAAATTTTTTTTTACCAACACTACTTTAAAAAAACAATTTAGAAGTCTCTAAATTCTTAACCTTATTTTATTTATTATATTTTTTAGCAAAAACAACACCAAACTTTCTATAAAAAAAATAATACATCACCCGCTATATATAAACAAAAATATTACCATCTAATACAAAATAACACAAGTGAAAAAATGTATATAAATGTATTCAAAAACCAATACGTGGTTAGTTCCGTAGTTATATGGAATAACATGGAATTATTTACAAGCTTCCCAGATCTAGCTCAGTTTTTACAGCAGAGTTCACGGTCATAACTAAAGCTCTCAATTTAATAACCAAATATCATCTCCAAATTACCATTATGTTGACAAACTCTCTCAGCTATTAATAATATCAAAACACATACAACCAATTAGATATAAGCCTACATATTCAAAATAAAATTCACTTTCTAAAAAATAATAATACCTAATTACAAAATTAAACTCTTTTGAATCCCCTGACATTGTAACATAAAATAAAATAAACACTCTGACCTTACTGCTAAAACTGCAATAAACTCTTCACAATTTCATTATCGTTATTCACAGAAATTTTATCATACTGGGACATAAAAATATTCATAGTAAATAGATGAAACTAAATTAACATCAGAAATGAACATCCCAATCCCCTAAATTAAATTAAATATAATATTGACAATAGGAACACTCCTTATTGAAATTCCTATAAAATATAGCTGGTGAAGTTCAAATCACCATTAAACACATTCCTTCTCACAGAATACAAAAAATATATGTTGACACCATAAAAATCTCCAATCTCCCTGATTCAATAGCTAAAATAGTACACAATAATCAATCAATCACCAACATCATCAAGTTCATCATCGTCACCTAACTACAAACCAAAATATAAAAATACTGTATAGTCAAAAACTCTAAATGTAAACTTATGTGAACTTATACATAACTCTTGTATACCCAATAGCTAATGATTCCAAAAGTTTTCTTTCAATAAAAAAATAAATAATAATAATAATATGTTTTTCCAAAACACAATTATCTAAAAAACTGTAATACAAAAATATTTTACTATGGTAGCTGATTGATAATTAATATTTTACAGCGCACACGACATCATCGATTGAGGAATTAAAAATATGCGTTTTTAATATAATATTATTGAATAGTAAAAAAATAAATATATTATTCACAACTTGTACTACTGCATGCCGTAAATCGGTCGATACTTCGATTGACGTTTATTATTTTGTTATATTTTATAATTATGTAGGGAAATACAGAATACTTAACACTGAACCTATAACCATAAGAAAAAAAACTGTTCGATGATCATACGTATTAAAATATATTTCGAAAATAATCATTCATTAAAAATGTATGGCACTTACAAGTTTCAACAAAATTAAATTTAGGATATTTTACAATAGCTTGTGCCAAGGTAAATTATTTGTAAACATACTTCATTGATTCAATATATACAATTGGTGACACAACTACAGGTTTTACAGTTACGTATAATATTATTATTATAGTGATACCAATAGCTATATCGTGAACATTGGCGATAAAACACATGCCTCGAATGAGTTGCAGCAACATAAGTAATTGGCTGAATTCGTCATAAAAAACGCAGTGTTTTAGTTCATGTTGACTGTTCAGAAGTCCATATCAGTTTATCGAGCTCAAAAATGTTAGGTTAGAACTATAATTTTTATACTGTTCTTACCTATCATGGACAAATAATATTATGGTTTGAGAATTCAAAATAAATATACTAAATGTCAGTAATAATTAATCGGAAAACCCATTTGTATTATTATATATTTATATTATAAAAATTAAATAAAAAACAGCATAGAATTAGAACGGTATTACCCTGATGCAATCTATAGTTCCAACAACTCAGTATCTAATCATTATCAAACTCATTATTTTCACTACACTATTTTACTTTACACAATGTGCAAAAAGTAAAAACCCACATTATAAAAAAATATATGACTTTTTTTCTTTTATTATGTATTTTATACACCGTGTTGTAGTAAAAAATTATTTAATATAACAGCTTTAATTTTTTTGATATTTTCAACATTTACAACACTGAATAGCATAACTTACAAACTATACTGCCCTGTAGTACATTTAAAAGACAAAAACCCCATCTTACATTTTTTATTTTTATAATTTATATTAATATATAGACTTATTTAAATATTATATATTATGGTTGAGGATTATAATCCCCTTCTCCCCCAAAGTTTATTGGGCCAATAAATTTCAAGATACTTACTATTTGTTAGGCACTGAATTGCTTTTCATTAGTTTTACCTATGTAAATATAAATAAATAAATTATTAATCATAGTTGTGTTGTACAGGAAATATGTCTGGTCGTGTTCTTCGGCGTCGAGTATATGATACGATTATGGTCGGCGGGTTGCAGGTCCAAGTACATGGGCACTTTCGGCAGGTTTCGTTTCGTCCGGAAACCCATATGCATCATCGGTAAGAAAACATTTTATGATATACCATACGTAAAGCATAAATATATAGAAATATGTATCGAACGATTTATCAAATAACACTCGAAATACCTTAATAACGTTTAGTTAGTCAATTATTATTTTTCCAGGTAAAAACAAAATAACCTCTCCGTTACCTGTATTATATTATTATGATATAGATGTTAACTATTTACACTTAAAATAAACAATTTTCGAAAATTATATTATATAGACATAAATTAAACTGTGAATACTTAGGTACATGACTCTGAACATATTATGCGCTCGCATAATATTATATACAGAGTAGTGGATATTATATATTGTATCATCGGAAATTCGTTAAATAATTATCACTCTGTTAACCGCAGCACTTGCATTCCAATTACTATAATATTTCTGAAATAATTAATATATATATAATTACGATTTTAAGAATACGTGTAATAGTAGTTATTACTCAGAGTTAAATTTGTTGAGATTTTGATGATTTTCTTCTAGAAAACCATTATTTTCTTGTTTTTTAAAAAATGTCTTTAAATTTGTTTATTGCAAGATTTACAATAAAATTAGAAGTATAACAATTTATATAAATTCGAAAAAAAGATATTATCCTACTTAAATTAAGTTTTCTTTTTAAAATTTTTATATTTTTCAAAATTGTAGAAATAATATTATAAAAGTTAAAAAAAACTAGACAATTTTTGTTAAATTTAAGGTTGAAAAGCGTGTATAAATATTTATTTGATGATAATTGAATATTATAAGTTGTAAAAATAAATAAAAAGTGCTTAATTAACACACTCCGTTACTTATATTCATGCATAAATCAAACTCAATTATCCACATCTCTAAATAGACAAGGTGTTGGAAAATCTAGATAAAAGTGGTAAGTCGATATAATATGTGACTATACTTGTGTAAAACAGAAAATTTACAATTTTTGTTAGACTGCATAAAAATCCCACAAAATTATTCAACTATATACTTAAGTATGCGCCATGATTTTCGCCTAAATTGAAAAATACAAATCAAAGAAAAAATTTGCAAGTTATACTACTTAATTGGAATAAACTCCATATTAGATCTGGCAAAAAAAATTTCTTCTATAATCAAACCAAATTGGGCTTATAGCACAATTATTTTGAGGTTATCCCAGCAAATCTATTATTAAAATTCAAGTTTTTAAAATATTTCTTATTGTACCATTATATACCACAGTATATCGATTTGTTAGAACTGAAATAGAAATTAATCCATTGTAATTTAAAGATATTATCCATTTAAGATGAAATCAAAAAGTTTACCAATAAACTAAAAAACACTAGAGCTGTATACCAACGTAACAGCTAAACAACTTCTCGACGTTTTTCAAGACATTAGACGACTAAAACGCTTGAAGCCATACGACTTAGTTTAAAACTAAGGAAAGAAGCTATCTTATTGAAGCTATAACCCCAAATATGTTCATGTTTATATTTCTATTATACCTATAGTTTATATTATTTATTGATTATCAAATATATACCCATTATTCATTGTATTTATGAAGACCTCGGATTGTTTAAAAACAAAAATGTTTGTATAAACTATTTAACGTTATTTTTTTATAATATGAACTTTTTAAGATTTTTAAATAAGCTATAATTATCGTTAATTATATTTTTCAATTTAAGCATAAATTAATTAAATGTATTCCACTAGCAAAAATATTACAGATTAAAACGATGGTTGGAATATACTGATATAGCAGTATATAAATATGGATAGGTATTTTATAACAAAGTTAGATCATTGGTACTTATTATTGGCCATTTTATTTTTATTTTCAAAATATCCTGCCATTTCTCGTCTAAGTATATTGATAACGAAGTTTGTTTTGTTTTTTATCAAGTCTACAAAACCAAATTTCAGTTTTAAACTGTCGAACATTCATTTATTTATATTCTAATTTTTTTATTATTCTGTCTTATTGTTTTAAACTTTTTTTTTTTCAATTCTAGTATTCGATTTACTAGAGTTGAAAGTATTTCACTAGAATTTATCTGATTTTTAAAGAGTTCATCTAACCTAGTGGTACCTCTAACATCTAAATTACTATTCCTTGTTCATATAAATATTTGCGTCACTATTATACCTTTTATTTGTGATATGCATAGTTTTGATAGGTTTACTTTCTTCTCTGTTTTGTTTAAGTTTTTTGGTAAATTTTCACAATCAAATATCACTCTTTTTGATTTCTTAAAATCTAAAGATTATACGTTCATATTAAAGCATTGCATATGTAATATATGCTAACAGGTATAATGTTGAATACTGATCACATTTCACGAAATTTACATCTTAAATTTTGAACATGATTTTAGACAAATAGATAACAAATACACTTAACACAATGAACAATCAAACATATTTGATCGTATCCTGAAATTTGTACGTCTAATATTATTATTTATTCGAATACAAATTACAATTCATCTGACTTAAAGGAGGAAAAAATTATTACTGTACCTTATTTTAAAACAATGATAACAGAATTAATTGAGTTCCTAATTTATAGTGTAAAATATGTTTCAAGAGAAATACAAATTAAAGTATTATAAAACTGTAAGTAGGTTTTACCTACTGATTTTAATATATTTTTAATAAATTTTAAATACTAAATAAACACAATCATATCGTACACATAATTATTTTTTATTTAAATATATGACGGATTTAAAAATCAGATTATTATAATAAAGTATAATGCTAAATTCATTACAAATCGTTACTTTCGAGAAATAATATTGTTTCAGTATTTAAATATTTTTAATTATATTAGTATAATATTAAAGCCGTATAAAATTTACTTTTGCAGTGAAATAGTAATTCTCTAAAACTTTTTGGAGTGAGACATTTGATATCTATATCAACCATTTTTTTTTGTTTGTTTATTTTTATCAAAAAAAAATTTTCATTTTTTCAAATATCTACATACATCTTAAGGTATTAATAAACATAATAATAAGATATAATATAAAATTCAAAAAATCAACTGTAAAAAGTTGGAAAGTCTGTCGTTTTGTTTAATACGTCGCATTAAAATTATTAATACAATTCTATTTTTTAGATTTACTTACAAAAAGAGCACTTTTTTAGTGAAAAATAAAAACTATTTATGTGAAAAATTCTCTATATTGTGTATCGAATTAGTTATCCTAATAAATAATAAAAATCTATTTACTGCGCACACTTTTACGAAATACGCAAGTTGATTCTCGAGGATATTTTATAATCGGCTCTTTTAATACAATCGGTATTCAAAGTTTTCAATTTTTGTTTTCTCAAAACAATTCTAAAAGATTGCCTAGTGTGTCCTCCTGAAATATTATTGCTGTTGCACATTCTTGGCAAATAAATTTGCATTATTGCATTATAATTTATATAATTATAATATTATAGCATATTGAATATAACAAGGCATAAAAGTATATATCATAGTAAAATTATCACCTTAGATAATATTATTAATTTTACAAAATCATTCAGTACCAAATGATTTAAAATTGTTAAGTAAAAAAAAAATTTGTTTAAAAACACATCTTGTTTGATTATACTTTATACTATTATGTATAAACTTAACACCTATTATAGATACTTACTAGTTATAATAAATTCATTAGCCCTGTCCAAATCTCTGTGAGGATTTATATGATATGTTGCACAATTGTCTAAATGTTTTTAAATAATGAATGAATAGTTATAGAACATAGTTATAATATGTATAATAGATCAGTTTGTGACGTTCGTAACATGTTCAATGTTCATATAGTAAAAGTATAACATGATAGTCCATTATTGTGTACATCGAATAGATGTTAATTTAAATGTTATCAACGCTTTCACTCAATGCGTTTATAACTGTAGCTGCAGTATTTTGCAGCTTTATAATGGCATTATTGTGTAATAATTTCAAACATGGTATAATCAAATATTTATAGTGAAAAAAAAATAATGCACTGTCCGCTTGTAATTGATTTTCAAGGAATTTAACCTAAAACAACATATACATGTTACGTATTGTACTAATTATAGATATAGTTAATATAAATGTTGTATTATGTGCACACTATATACTGCGATTAAATATAAGTATAGTATACACTATTACGACAAAAAAAATAACATGAATAATTTTCATATTCATATACCTTTATACATAATATATCTCATTATATAGCAGACGTACATATATATCACTAAGAATTATTCAAACGTTAAAAATGATAAATATTTTGTTTAATATATCCCTATGGTGTATAAGAAAATGAAGAAAGAATGATTTTGAATATGTATTTGTTTTTAAAATGTTCCACTTGAATAATTTAACAATTTATTGAATATTCAATAGTTTTTATAAAATTAACTTAACACACTTCAACGAACAAAATTAAACTTGCCATGTTTGATATTTATATTAAAATACATATTATATTGTGTTACGAGTTTTATAAACTATTAACAAATTATTTTTTTTCACAGATCTAATCGTTGTCGTGGCGTCAATTGTGGTCTTATCGATTGGTTCCAATGGACAGGTGTTTGCCACATCAGCGATTAGAGGCATTAGGTTTCTACAAATATTGAGAATGCTTCACGTGGACCGTCAAGGTGGTACATGGCGGCTTCTCGGCTCAGTTGTATTTATTCATAGACAAGTAAGTTTTTAGAACATTTGAATTAAACAATATTCGCAAAACGATCGAAAGTTAAAATACCCCTACTGTACATATTCGATATTATTAATTATTATCATCATTGTTATTTTTGTTGCTGTTACTTGCGGAAACGTCAGAGTAGTCTGTAGACACGGTAAAACTCACGAAATAATATTAATAATATTCGAGAGATTCGAATAATAATATATTTGCTCGGTCCGTGAAGAATTTCTAAGCAGATCGACACTGCGGAATCCTATTGCAAATTATAATGTTATAGCTAGGAACCAAAAGTTTTTAATTAAAAAACTTTAATTAAAGGCATACAAAAGCGAAATGTTTTCTGATATGAACCACGCTAGTTGCATTATGCGAATCGGTTGCGGCTGTACACAGATATGTATATAGGTAAATTTATTATATTGTGTGTATAATAGATAGAGAGAACAGGGAAAACTGTATGAAAAATTGACAACTACATGATATTATATCATAATATACTGACGATGGTATGGGATTCGGTCGGTCTATTGTTTTTGTTATTGTTCTTCGTCTTCTCGTGGCCGATTTGATAGAAGATAATAATTGTGTATTATTATTATATTATACATGTAGTAGATGAGATATAAAGAGTAACTATCTCGAAACACAAAGTTTCGGTTCGACTCGATTAATACATGTTTTGTTTGAGTTTTTCATCTTTCGATCTTCACCATGCACAATTTCCACCGTTTTGACTTTTGAAATATTTGCTAGTTGGTAGAATTATTAAACAAATGAGATCACTAGTGGAATCGCTATTTATTTTAATTTTGGGTTTTTTTTTTTTTAAATTTTTATTATTATTATTATTATTGTTGTTGTTGTTGTTGTTGTTGTTGTTCTAGGAGCTCATTACTACATTGTACATAGGATTTTTAGGTTTAATATTTAGCAGCTACTTTGTTTACCTCGCTGAAAAAGATGCGGTCAGTAAGGACGGGAAATCGAGAAATGATTTTTCCAGTTACGCCGACGCGCTCTGGTGGGGAGTGGTAAGTTTTTGTTTATACACACATTTTTAATAGCTATTTTACGTTTTTAAAATTTTTCTCTAGTATAAAATAATAGTCATAAAAAATAACTTAGTAATAATCTCAATGTTATTATTATTTAGAATGTATAAATTTAAGAGTGTATCCATAATATATTTTATTATATGTACAAAATTTAATATTAAAAAAAATTTTTACCATTGTATGCACCATGACACAAATAAGAAAAATATAATAGGTTAATTATTACATATATTTTGCAAGTTTCATAAGGTTTTTGTCTAATCTAAGCATATTTCTTTTTAATATGATTATGAGTTTTTAATGAAATTATTTCAGTTTCATAAGACATCAAGTAATTTAGTTATATTTCTTATAAATTAATTATGTAATAAAAATAAATTTATCTAGTATTCATACATTAGAATAATTTATAAAATTATTAACACTTTCTGACTATTTGATGTCTTAAAAATCAAATTAATTTAAAATCAATTCTTGTTTTTATTAAAAATATGTTAGTTTTAATTATATAATATGTATTATGTAGTTTATAAAGTTATCAATTATTCAAATAAATTATATGATTTCTAAGATATACCTAGTAATTAAGTAATTTTTCAAAATGATCTTTAATTACATTAAATATTTTATATGTTAAATAAATATCAATAATACTTTATGAAGATAAAATAAATTCATTTTTATTTGTTTTCATTACCTCTAGATCACTGTTACGACAATAGGTTATGGTGATGCAGTACCTCAGACGTGGATCGGCAAGATCGTAGCCTCGTGTTTCAGCGTATTCGCGATTTCGTTTTTCGCTTTACCAGCTGTAAGTACACAAATTAGTATCTATAAAACATTATGTTTATTATTATTTATATTCATGTGTGTGAAATGTGTAAATATAAGTGCGCGCGTTCATGCATGAAAAAATAAAACTAAATAATCTGCTGCATGGATTACATTTCTATTATTATAAGTCATCAAAATGTATATATTTTAAATTAGAATAAATAAGAAATTATATTACTCATAAAATTTGTCTGAGTTAGTTTATAGGTTCATTATGGTTTTGTCCTCATCTGTGCAAACAATTGAATCGTTTCTGAATAACCTTTAGTGAAATGTCTTAAATTAAATACTAATTAAATTAATAGCGTTTGTCAAAACATATAGTTAATGGAAGAAATATTATTAAAACTACTTGGCTTATGTGTATATAAGTGTCTACTTTATTTGGCCGATATGACCGTAGGTACCACAAACTAATGGAATTTGCTTAATTAAAATATTTTGATGGAAATAAAAGAATAACTAACTGAATTTTCTATCTCAACTCTTTATATCATAAAAAACGCGAAACGTAATTTTTTATGAACTTTAAGCATTTTTATTAGGAGAGTATTTAATGAAATGAAATTGCTTAACATTTTATGTTTACTGCACGCGCATAATGTCAATTACACTATTAATAATATTGATTAAATTAGCAGTAAATTGTAGGTACCTATATATTATGCCACGCATAATATACTAAATGTATAACGTATAAAATGTTTTAACATTATCTCACCATGCGGTAGAATAAAACATTTTCTTTTTCCAAAATAATATGCTTCAATTCAAAATAAATAAGAATAGGTACCCGTTTACTGATTATTTGTTTTATTTTTAAATTTAATTTAATGGTAAAATTATGATAAATCATAATGGTTTACAGTCTATCATTAATACTTAATAGAGTAGTCTTCGATAATAAAATAAACACATGGAAATCCAGGAATTATATAGTTCAGTTCTAATTGAGTCCAATTTTTTAGCGACTGATTGATATATTATGTTATGACACTTCTAAGCCTGAGAATGAGATGTAATTTTTACTAAGTATGTTAAGTTATTTTTAGATCCGCTTAAGATTTAAAATTATGTACACGGAATTCAACTGTAACACGTATTTAACGTTAATATAGATAGGTTAAAATCATATAATGTTAATTTACAAGTAAAAAATCGAACAAATGGAATTCAGATGCAATAAGGAGGAGTTTTATTTGAGTGATTTGAAAAATATATACTAAAATATTATAATGATTTTAAGGATATCATTTGGGTAAATAAAACATTTTTATTTACACATATAACCTATTATTATGGTGTAAATGAATGTGTGTAAATAAATAATGACTTAACATAACATTTGGACGAGTAAAATACTAAGCAATTTTACTTACCGATTTTAAGACTCTTAGTGATTAACTACAGATTTAGTTGAAAATTACTGAGTTGAATATTTATGAAAAGACGCTTCTTATGCGCCAGTGTAACATATATATTTTTTTTTTAGTGACATATTTTTTTAACATGTTTTAATGATTCTAATCAAATAATTGTATTTATAAAATAATTTTTTTCTTATCTTTTGTTAATTTTAACACTTTTAAATAATATATTTCAAAATTTGTCGAATAAGGTTATCTTTTGCAAATAAATTGTCCCAAAAAAAGGTATAATCAGTTATAATCACCTTATAAAATATATTATAATAATCCGGTTGACGAATTTACTACGCCTCATATTATTATATTTTTTAAGATGTGTGATGTATAATATATTTATTTAAGTTTATATTCCTATACATAGTATTTTACTCAAGTAACATTAAATATCCAGCAAATAGCGAGACTATATGACCTTTATCAGCAAAGTAATGAAAACTAAATTTCAATTAGACACTAGATGCCTAGTCATAACTTATAACAAACATCGTACACGACGGGCTATAATAGCAAATTAGTGGCTTGATCTAAAGTTCAACTATGAGATAGTTTATTTTTTTTTAATTACAATATTATTAATTTTTAATTTTATTTCATGCATACTTAACAATCTATATATTTTTATAAGTATCATAAATAAATAAAAATATAAACCAAGACTTCTATTCCTCTTAAACACTCTGCGCCACTGTCATCGTCATCACGTTTACCTATCGTAATAAACATGATGAATAATATTATGATTAATGAATTGACTGAAATTGGTAAAATCTAAGTGAATCTTGGACGATTAGTTGTTTTTGGTATAACATAAAAATAATAATAATAATGTTTTACGTCATACGATTAGCGATACATACTATTGTTATAAAGCTATAATTCATCATGTGTTTATATCGCGATTTCTAATCAATTAATCATTTCGTAATTATATTTATATTATATAATATATAGGTTTATGTATGTATAAATTATTATCATATTACACCATGTGTACTATGATAAGGACGATTTAGATCCGCTGTACATGCCATCATAGATAAAACACTATGGATTTCTGCATATTATACACAATATAGGTACCTATACGCGCACATATGTTTATGAAACAGTTAACCCTCGCGCCAGACCCACGTAAATATTCTACAGGAAATTAACCTCACTCACTTCGTGACGATATTAAATTATTTAAAACATTTTCCCTCATCCACCGGTACCAATACCGTAAAATATATTATATTTATATAATATATAATTTATAGTTTAGTCTATTCGTGAGAACGAACAGCGATCAGTATATTCAATTTTTACGCGTCAACCCCACCAAAATATATATGTTAAATTTACCAGGTTATCTTAGATTACTCTAGTAACTCCACATTATACTGTAGATGATTATTTTAAGGAATCAACAGGAATCAATTATTGTATGATAGACTGAAGCAATATCGTTTAGGACGTTTAAGTAATAGTTTATATTGTTTACACTGCTGTATCAAGTTCCTAATAGAACGAAATAACGATTTTTTTTTTTTTACATAATAATTATTATATCAAACAAACTGGTAAGAATAATTTAATTCTGTTGAGTTTTTTTTTTTTTTAATTTGAATATTTAATATATCTGAAAAAACTTTAAGAAATGACCATAATTCTAAATTGAAAAAAATATGTATCATCGTATTAAGTGCGATATATAATATACATTGTAGAAAAATTTTAAAAAATCCAGTTATACGTTTTTTGAATATTTTATTTTATTATAATATTTGCATTTTAAATTTCAAATAGCTTTTAATAATAATAATAAATAAAATATAGATTACAAAGATTATTAACAAAAAAAAAAAAAAAAATATTAATAGACAATATTAATAGTTTACATCTAACAAGAAATATTTTAATCTTGCATCATTCTTGTAAAAGGTGCATTTCTCTATAAGTTAAATTAATTTAATAGTAAATAAAAAGTACGTTATGACTTGTGTTACCTAGTACTGTTGGGTAATTAGATATTTACTGAATTGTTCTGAAATACGTGAAACACTTATTTAACCTCTTAGCAGTTCCCATTAAAAACGTACCAAACGTATTTCCCCTCAGATTTAGGGTTTAATTCAAATCTACACAATTATCATTCATAATCACATATTTTAGTTTGTTCAATACCACTCAAATTTTTTCTATTGTTAAAAAAGGAAAATTTATAAGATGGATAATTCAAAACCACACACGTTTGATTGATAGTTAAAAACTAAACATTTATTATAAAATAATTATCATAAAATTAACTCAGTATATAAGATCTGATAATTTTAATATTAATAAAAAAAATTTAATATATAAATATAATATAATAAGATAAAATAAAATATGTTTAGTAGATAATACTTAGAATGAAACCAAAACGTAAACAAAGTAATGAGATAATTTGAAAAGCTTCCCGAAATTCCATCGGATAGAACCAAGGAAAATGTATTGAATTTTTGTAGAAAAATGCCTAAAAATGTATTTACAATAAAATAAATATGATGCTAAAATAAGACAAATAAAAAAACTCTAATTCTTTAAATTTGTTGACGTGGCCCATTTACAATTTATTGAGGCAGTAGTCGTACTCGAAAAACTTATGTACCTGATTAATCAACTCAATCTTACAGTTTTCTGCGTTGAGAGATAATCGACAATTTACTAAATTTGTTTAGGACTTCTTTAATAACAAGATAATATTTAATTTTTAAAATGGTGTTAAATATTTTTGTATTGTCAGAAAAAAACGGCAAGAAGAACTAATAGAATAAAAAATGTTTATAAATATAATAAATTCTAATGGAGGAAGGTGACTAACTTTCAAAATACAAAAAGTCGTAATTAAGCTACCAAACTAACTATCAATGAAACCATAAAACTGGTTCGAGTACTCAAATAGGATTTTATCCATGATGGAAACAGTTCTTAAGTAATCTAAAAAATATATATCAAAGAACCAACATTGATCTAGTATAAGTCGTTGAAAATTCAGTATAAATGTACATAACTATTTGCAAATTAAGATTCAAAATCTTCTTATATTAAATTTGTAAAATTAATCATGCTAGTCTCAGAAGAACGGCCAATAAAAAACTGATGTTTCATTGGAAAATGTATTAAAATAGAAACATCTGAACTACATGTCAAATAAACTACTTATCTTAATCTACAAGACTACAAACTTAAAGATTACAAGTAATAGATCGAAAGCTGTCTTAAGTAAAACCATTAAACTATAAGACATGATTAGCATAAAATGAAGAAAATGTACTAGCTGAATTCAATACAGAATATTCAAAATCTTTGTTGACACACAAAACAGTACTAAAATATACATATCTACGTATTATATAAAATCGATAAAAAACTAAATTCGTTTTTTCACTGTTTTTTATTCATACAAATACAAAATGTATTTATATATATTATATACAGTGACACTTAAAAATAGTTCAAACAGTTGATGTTATTTATACAAGCAAATGAAAATGTTTAACTATATACCTATAAATGAAACTTAAAAAAATTAATTCTGACTTGGAATAAAAAACATCTATTTTTAATGTATTATAATAATGATTTATTGTATAAAATAATGATAAATATATAATTTTGAAAAAATAAGTATAATGAACAATAGTATTGTGTAATAACTATAATGTAAATATTTACACTTTATTCATACTTAGGCACTATCATATTTGAATATTTCTACCTGTTGAAAAAAAGTTTTATAAAAATTTTATATTTACTGTGAACATTTATGACGTATAATTACTTCGATCCCCTCTCTCACAGTTAAAAATAAAGGTTGGTATATAATACTTACCTATTAAGATTGGCATTATTTTCTCATAACGCAAGCTTACAAACATAAATTATTACTATGTATAAATTGAAAAAAAAACGACATCTAATTATCATACTTTATTATGCTTAAAAATAAATTTAAAATGTTTAATTCGTTTAACAGTTATTAACTATTTTATTATAAATTATGACTTGATCAAATATCGATTTCACGAAAACAGCGGAAAGAGGCTAATATTTATTAAACACATTTAATGATCATAATAACAAAGTATTTTATTTTATTAGTTTAATTCAATCAAATGTTTAAATAATTTTACTATTTGATTGTATAATAATTTATTTCATGTTTTTCTTAACAAACCACTTGCTTTGGAAAACTAAGGTTACAATGCACTATTTATTTTTGCAATCTGTCCAAAACTTCAAAGACCATGAACAGTGACCGTACATTGCGGTTCAAAGGCATGTTTCATAATCAGAATCTTGAAAACCGTTTTTGTGAATTCTTGTTATAAATACTGCCGCTTATAAAATATTATAAATGTCCAGTAACAATATTTCCTAAACAAGAATATTATATCTAAACGAATCGCAATGTCATAGTGCATATGAATCAAATCTAATTTATAGTTATTTATTACTTCTCAATGCGTATTTTTTACCTAAATGTTCTATACAAATGCTATCTATGTATAAATTTTATACCACACTCTCTTTTCATTATTATTTAAGATGTTTAAGACTAAAAAACTAAAATTCTTAGAGGATATTATTTTGCTCATTATTTTAGATGATGTTAAATCATATAATAATTAATTATACTATGACAGATTTTTCTCGTTTATAAGAATATCATGTAAAAAATTTGTTTGGATCTTATGTATATTAATCATTATATGTTTATTTCCATATTGTGCATCATTGTGTAGATAAAATCTATATAATTATCTTATCTAAATTAAAATTATTTAAAGTATCTTTTTATTTACTAGGTATATTAATAAAATGGTAATCTATGATAAAATTATTATCTATATCATTTTTTTGAGACATAAGATTTTCAATTTTATTTTTATTTTTTCTTATGGGAAATGTTAATTTTTTTTTGATATTGCCTGTTTATTTTATTTGATTTTCAAGTTACATTTGTTATTGATATTATACTATTAAAACTGATTTAAATATTTAAATAAAGGTTGAAAAACGTACATAGAATCTTGTATTAAAAATTCAAATCTTATATCTAAATATTAAAAAATTTATAAATTTGTAACTATTAATGAAATTCGTTACAATTCTAACTTCAAACGCTTATAAAATGTTTTGTTGATTTATGCTCAACTTTTTTTTTTCTATTAATAATAACTTATAAGGAACCTCATATTAAATTTTAAAGTTTTTTATTGGCAATTAAAAAAAAAAAACGAAAATTTCAATTATCCATTAATAGCTTAAAAAAAAAGTTATTATTTTGAAGTATAAACAGTTAATAAAAATCAAGAAATTCAAGTTTCTACAGCAATTTATTTTTATATGATCACAAAGTGAAAAATTTGATTTTTTTGAAAACTGGTTTAGCGTAAAAATACCCGTATTTTCTAATTTTTGTGATTATTAAAAAAAGTACTGGGAATTTCTTATTTTTGAACCTCTAAAGTAGTAACTAGATTCAGTTTGCTACCAAAAACTATCTGTAAAATTAAAAATCAAAGAATTTTATTGTCCCAAAAAGTTATGACATAGACAATTAAAAACTCACTGATAATATAAAATATCAGACTTACGTGTACAGGGAATTAAAATATTACAATAATTGGTACAATAAACTGCTCAACAAATTTATATTTCTAAATATTACATCTATAATACTTTCCATAATACATTAAAAATCATTGCTGTAACTATATGCTAAACCGACTTATATAGCATTAAATGTAAATTTGATTTTTTCTTCATTTCTAATCAAATATATTACTTTGTTCAAAATCATGTATATATTTTCATGGTTCTTTAATAGGATAAAAAAATGTGTAGATACAACATTTTAAAATTAAAGTTTTAATAATATCAACCGATAGGTATAAGTGTATATACAATATACATATTATCACAATTTTTATTATAAAAAACTTTATACATATATATATATATATATAAGTGTATACTCCCCACAGTATAAAATCGTATCATTAACGCATCGCTCGTTTCTTGAAATTTCAAATGATAATCTTTTCTCATAAATATACACACCAAAAGCATACAAAATAATATTTATGTATTTTATTTATTGAAATATAACTCATGAATCAAAATTACTAATGTGCTGTATGTCTTAAAATAAATAATATTACATGGTCGAAAAGCTTATCTATAATAAATAATTATAATCTTAGAAGTTAGTAGGGTTTATTAATTTTAATATTCATTAAATATATTAATTTACTTATTGTCACTAAAAAATATAATAAACCGTAGTAGAACAACTTATGCAATATAATATTATACTTATTTTATTTATGATATAATAATTTACAAAAATTCTATGTACCTACCTTAGGAACCATTGCAGTATTGATATTTAATAGTAAAGTTAATATATTTTACATTTAGTAATATTATAATACATTCATGGTATACGTATATAATGTTATAAATACATCTAAGACTTTGAACACTTTTTCGTAGTGTTACCCTAATACCAATATGCTAAACCAATAAGTTATACATAATATAATTATTCGATTTATTTTCAACCTAAAAGTTTTTTAAATGGATTTCATAACAATTATTACGGATTTATTCCGAGATTATATCATTAATGATATTATTTCAATTACGTAAGATTTCTGTTTTTCTAATAGTTAATTATTGCACAAAACTATTTATCTATAATTTACAATAGGTATATGGTATATTTAACTAAGTTCTGTTATGGCAGTTTGTAAATATGTGGTTTATCAATTAAGAATTACTTGAAATATATAATGTAAATTAGGTATATAATCAATAATTCTAACGATAACAAATTAACAATATATATTACCTACTCTGAAAGACTGCGAATATTCATTTATTTAATGTATAACATCGCATTTTTAATATATTTGATGTATGATCACTTAGGTATTTATTTAAATTTTTATACTATATCCAAAAACTTAAATTTAAAAATATAATCACATACATTAAATTTGTGATCAATTATTTTATATTATACGTCACAGACATCTGTAACATAAAATAAAAAATAAATAGTTACCTACCCGAAGAACAGAGATAAAAGTTACGGCCAAATTTAAAAATTACAATTAGATAATTTTATAATATTAAATAAGTTATAGGAATAAAATAAAATTAACTTATGATTTATAGTAAAATTAAATTGTTTTTAACACCGGAAGAATATACATCATACTTGTCATTTGATTTAATTTATTTTAATAAATAGAGAGATTCTATTGAACAGAAATTTCGATATTTAACTTTTCAATTTATGTTGGGGTCTTATTATTCGTTAAAGTATTAACAGCTTCTTTCTACAGATTATAGTGTATACTGTATAGTATATCTATCATATTTTTCAAAACATTTTTTTTAAATGTCACATGAATATAGGGCATATTGGGTTCCGGGTTTGCGTTGAAAGTACAGCAAAAACAACGGCAAAAGCATTTCAACCGGCAAATACCTGCGGCTGCAATGCTTATACAATGCCTGTGGAGGTGCTACGCGGCGGATAAATGTTTCAACAGCCAAGCAACTTGGGACATTTACATCAAGGAACCGGGACACCAAAAAGACAACTCGTCATTGAGCAAAGTTAGTTGTTTACATTCAAATTGTGTGTCGATGGTGCCGATGGTGGTACAATAATATAAATATTAATATGTTATATTTCGATGTCATGTTACGTATAGTCTTTGATCATGCAAGTAGCGAAACGTGCCAGTGTCTTGAAGCGGAAGAGATCAAAAAGTAAAATGGACACATCCGGAACAACAAATAATAATAGGGATTGCCCGCAAGCTCAAACTTTACCCCCACCGCCTAGAAGGGACAGTGACGGCGAAGTCGTTTTCTACATAGAAGAACCTAAAGCGAGTACGTACATACATGCATATTATTATTATTATTTTAGCCAATGCCTACGCGTTCGCCGTGCCCACCAATCAATTTCTACGGACAATTACGATTTTTAGATTAGTATGGTTTTGAATTGGATCAATTGTAGAAAATATTCTTATAAAATTTAGTAGCCACAATCATTTAAATCACATTATTCAATAACATAAAAGTATAAGTATAAACGTACTCGTACAATGCGATTATGTTGAACTATATAAGTAATAAAAAAACGGCAAGTTGTCAAGTTAAGAAATGAATAATAAGATAATATAATACTAACATAATCTTTCACGAAATTTCGTTTTTCTTCCACTTCGAATACTTTGCCATCAAAAATAAAATATAAATTCCAAAAAATATAACAGTACAATAGTAAAATTTGTTTTTTTAATAATCAATAATATGTATAATATACATTACATGTATTCTCAATAAAATTAATACTATATTAATTCGATAAAAATTATATCATAATGGGAACATTAAAATTTTTATATGGACCAATTAAAAATTTTGATTTAACAATAAATAATAATATTATTTGAAATCATCATTGAAAAATCTTGCACTAAGTACAAGTTATAAAATCAATAGGTGCATACAACATTATAAAATTTATTTTAAATATATATATGCTTCATTTATGTATATTTACCTTCTTCTTTCATATATTTTTACTTCAATTTTTATAATCAATATCTCTTGTTGTATTTTCTATCTTCCATAGCCACTCCAAATCGTGTGAGGAGAGAAGCTAGAGGATATGTCAGCCAAACAAGTTCCGTAACGGAAGCTGCCAGCGATGAAGTCGACTTGGAAATGGAACCAGAACGAGTGACCACGTAAGTTAGATATTTTATTTTATAATATAATAAACTTCTAAATAATTTTTATTATTTTTGAGTATGACTTTTTAAAAATATAATAAAAATTAAATAATAATGCAATAATGAGTAGTAATGTATTATAGGTACTATTGCTTACGTCTTACGTTTTGGTTATATGACAAATTAATGATAAATTCTTTAAGTTTTTTTATTTAAATGTATTTAACTATATCATAAAAAAATTAACGGTTTTATAGATTAATCAAAATACACATTTAAATGTCTTCCTAATTTTTATTTGTTTTTTTTTTCAATGTTGTTAAATTGAAACATAGTACCTAAATACTTAACATTTTATGTCCAGGACAAATTGAATTATGTTTTAAATTAATATTTGTTATATAGGTTAACAGACGTACACAAAAATGCTATTCGAGCCATTAGAAAAATCAAGTATTTTGTAGCCAGAAGAAAATTTCAACAAGCTAGAAAACCATATGATGTGCGTGATGTTATCGAACAATACAGCCAAGGTCATTTAAATATGATGGTTCGGATAAAGGTAAAATTACATTTATTCAAAAATATGTAAGTCATGAAATATTCTAAACAAATTATTAGTTTTTTAATTAAAATTTAAAAAAGCTTAATTTAACTTAAGCTAAATAATTAAGCAAAAATAATTAAATTAATTGGTAAATTATTTTATATCATTAATTGAAATTGACCAAGATAATGATGTTCAAAATTGTTTTAAACACTTAATAGTTAATATACAACAATACATAAAAAACTGTAATTACACCTTTCATCGTATTAGATAATATTATATGTTTTCTTTTTGAATAAAGCAAGAACTTTTGAGCATTTTTTCTCTTTAATATAACACTTATTTTTCTAATAACAAGCACACAGTTTGTTTTGTATTCATTATTTAAAAAATAAACAATATTTTAAGTTCATATTATGCAGTTATGAAAGTTCTGGTATATATTTATATAGTTTTATAAAAAATAAATTTCGTTTTTAGTGTATTTGTATATAGATTTCCTTTGTTAAAAACCATTCATTTTTCACACGTAAAGCATAAAGTTTTGATACGTAAAACTATAAAAGCATATTTGATAATATAATATATTTATGTATACATTGTATATGATTACGTATAAAATATACATTGTAGTAAGATTTTGCTCTAATTTTCTTCAAAATACAAAAAAAAATCTATTAACTAATTACTACAAGCGTATATAGCTAATATATATTTTTCGACATAATAAATAGACATAGTACCTATCTATTTATTTTCTCATCTGGTTTTATAAATAAAAAAATAAATATTATCCCACAAAAATATTTGCTCTTCGTCTCCTAGTCGTATTGGACACGCTCTTCTACTTTCATTCTTGTTCAAACTCGCCTTAAATGAGTCCTTCTTTGTGTAACCATATTTCTCAAGCTATCTGCGACATCTCTTACATTATTTTTAACTGTCCATTTGTTTTTTGGCTTTAATTAATTCTTTGAATATCCCAATTAATAACCCTAGGTCTATTATTTCCTGTAATTTTTCATTCGTTATTTTCTCAAAATATTCTATCAGGCTGGATTCAAAATTTCAAATTTAATTCTTTTCCTAATTTAATAATTTAATGTATATTAATTTTTTCATATTAAAAATTAACTATCATACCTTATAGTTTTATACTTTAATATGTACTTTTCACTAATCTCATTGTAAACAATTGTTATTTCAGGAATTGCAAAGAAGGTTAGATCAGACGCTCGGAAAACCAGGCAGCTACCTAGCAGGAATTGACCGAGCAGGCAATGTTAAACCTATGACAATTGGTGCTCGTTTGTATAGGCTAGAACAGCAGGTAAAATTTAATTATTTAAACAATAAAAAATTTGGAAAATTTTTCTTCTGTTTGGCTCTTTCAACTATGCGGAATTCCAAATGACAGCCGGGGGCGGTGCATTCGAATTGCGTCCATGAATTATATTTTATCCGAGATACGTCCGTGGTTTTGTCACGACACATCCAAGTTGTGTCCGCGGTTTTCTCGCGACATATACGAATTGCGTCCACGCATTTTTTAGCCACTAACAATAATGTTTGGCGATAAACTTGTAGATAATTTCGATTGTCGCTATCTTATCTGTAAATACCACCTTGCGATTGGTTTGTTCATGTTAACATCAGTCACACTTCGACATTCAATATCAAATCATCACATTTTTATTTATATTTATTTAATTTTGCAATGGAAAATCTTGAAATAGTAATAGTGAAAATGTTCAGTGAAAAAAATAAACTATTATATTGTCATTTATACACCATTTATACAAATGACAGTCCTCAATCTGTAAAATTGGGAAGGAAAATATGTATATTATTAGCCAATTAATCAATTATTAACCAGGACGCAAATCGTACATGTAACGAGAAAATCGCGGACGCAACTCGAATATCCCGATTTATATTTTCGTATTTTGGGACGCAATTCGTATGCAGCCCCGGGGGCATGTTATATTGGGGCCATTCCCCCACAGTGGCGTATTGCACAACCTGCATTTGTGGGAAGGAGGCTTAATTTTTTAATTAAAAAATTGGATGACCTATACTAAACGTCTTTCTAAAATAAGCAATACCTATTATTGAGTCGCAGTGTCGCGGTTTAATACTTTGAAAACAACAATTTCTTGGAAATACTCGAATACCTATATAAGACAATGTTCAGCTATACTATTTAATATTTATAATTAAAATCAAAATTATAAATTTATAAAATTATATTAAAATTTGAGGCAATTGAAAATCACGTCCGCGCGCAAACTATTCACCTAGTGTAAATGCTTTTATTGTAATGGGTAATTTTCTATACCAAAGTAAAATACAATTAATTCGAATGAATATGATATATGTTATTTTTCCGTTATTATCGATCAAAAGATCATAACTCATAAGAAATTAATTCTTCCTAAGAATTTCAGAGGAGGTTGTCTCCAAACTCTCCCTACACATTAGTACGTCACTGTTTCCCCAACACCAAAACATAAGCGTTATTTTAAAATTTATTTCTTAGAATGGTTAAAAATTCATTACATTTTCCGACCTTGTTTTATGTTTTAGCTATCCATTATGGACAAGAAGCTGGATCAGTTGGTGTACCTTTTAAACGTCCAGACGCACAGACAACAGTTTCCGGCTTTAGAAGAACAAGTTTAAACGTTTTTAAAAAGATTATCAAAACGTCTCCTTTTCATAGATCACCCGACCAATGTTATTATTTTATTAAGGAACAAAATAAACTTCTTAAAATCACACAAAATTAATGTACACACATATCCGTTCGACTAAAAAAACTTTATCCTTTCGATGACGTGGACCACATTATTGGTTGTTGAATGACAAAAACTATAATAATAACAATAATAATACTATTTAGATGAAAATAAATATTTTTATGAGAACCCTTGTCTGAAACATTCTTACGACGGAACCTAATTTTAGGCTAATGCACAATAAAATATAATATATTATAATTATATATAATTATCGTTAAATAAATCTAAAACACTATTTTTCTATGTCTATTTAATACAAAAATCGTACTTGAATTAATATTATAAATATATTTAAATATTCTAATACAATGTTAAAATACATGCTTTGTCAGTAATTTAGTGTAAATCACTTAAACCAATATCTCTCAAAAACACTTTAATATAAAATTTATTTTAGTTGTTAGATTTCTTTTGATTTTTATGTAACGACTGGTGATTCTTTTAGGCTTAATTAATTCGAATTTTTACATTCTTAGGATTATACGGATAATAATATGTTGTAGTTGGTAAAAAAAATTGAGCTTATAGATATTAGGTATAGTATTAATCAAATATTCTGTTATTTGTTGAAATCATATTTATTTATGTGGCAGAGCATAAACATTCTTCACGTGATTATAATATGATGGTAATTCAAAAAGCAATAATTAATAACATATACTCGGTGTTCAAACGAAGAATAACAATAACGATGAATCCAAACCCTTAATATAATCAACATTTAGCCATTTTATTTTTATTTTACATTTCAAAATCGATAAATTTCAAAAACTTTTTGTATAAATATTATTTTCTTATTATAATCTGTAAACTGTATCCCTGAAAGTTTCCCGGCGCGCACAGTGACCAAAATTAGTTTGCAAATTAAACAATCAAGTATAAGACTAAAATTAAAACATATTATTTTTCATAATAGAATACATTTTTTTTCATTTTCTTTATTTTATTGGGACCAATAAACTCCAATAACAAGGATAATTTTAAAACGTTATATCAAAAAATTCTAAAAAAAAATATTTATGATAAAAATTAAAATTGAGTGTACCGTATTATTATGTATATTTAAAGAAACATGTTCTCATTTCATTCGAACACCAATAATGTTATTAAGTTTTAATCAATTTTCATATTAGATTGTATATTATACAAATCATAAGTTAATGAAAAATAGATTTTACATCTAAAAAAATAAATAATAATAATGAAAACTTTATCTAACTTTCAAGATTAACAAATAAGAAATTGAAGTTCAATTTTTTTCACGATTACTAAATTCAAATATATAGGTACTTAACGATTTTTCATCATTATCATTTATTCATGAAAACTACCCCTATATGTTTAATTTTGAATCAAAATGAGATAAAAAATAATTTATTTGTATAAAAATGTAATTTAATTTACTGGTCCCATTGCCATATTATAATTGTGAACACTGTAATAAGACAATAGGTTATAACTATAATTAGCAAAAGTTATATTTTTTTTCCCATTAAACAAAATCGTTTACGTTTTGTACCTATATAGTTGTTTCTAATATTTTTATCTAAACAAATATTTTACCAAACATAACATGGCCTATGAGTTTTTAAATTGTCTTTATCCAATGGTATACTTAGAGTATTTATTTACTATATCTGTATCTGTTTTCAAAAATAATTAACAGTTATTAGAGTTACTTCATAGTTGGCACATTGCGTTTTAAGCTGAGTATCTACAGGAAAAAGTTTATAAGAACACTATTTAATTTTGCGTTTTTCATTTCATATTTTTTTTTCTAAATATATTTTCTTGTGGATCTAATATAATAAAATTCATGCGTTTTTTTTTTTTTTTGTTTTAAAATTTAAAAACATCTTACTGAATAGTGGGTATTCGATTTGTTATAAATTGACCAATGCATAATATTGGTAAAACATTTTGTAAAGCAATCTCTAATCTTGGGTCTAAATAAGTGCCTTTTTAATACAGTTAGTAATAATTTTATTAGCTTAACCTGATAATGTGGTTATAATAATAAATTTCATTTTTTTTTCTTGACTTATGTCTTCTAAATTATATATTTATATAATGTTCGTTTAATCAATACGACAAAAATAAATCATTTTATTAAAACACGAGTATTATAAACTATATCTTTTTGTAGTACATATAGAACCTAAGCTATTTCTACCACATCATGAATGTATTTTTTATTTCATTTTATAAAAACGATAATCATTAATCAATATTATAATGATCAGTTCGTATATTACCTACATAGATTGAGGTAGTAGGAGTATAATATAGGTAGTTATATTTAGATAACAATTTCAATTGTATTGACGAATTTTCTCATTTACAGGTACTAGACTAATAAAAATAATAAAATAAAAAAATGGAGAAAAAAATAATAACTATCATTATAAGTTTTTAGATCGGTGTAGTCATTTTACACGCCGATTCATTATAATACTACAGAAATGTTCTTTTTTTTATAATATTTTACTTTATTAGACGCATTTGTTTTTTTATACGGACACTTTTGAGCTATAGACTAGTGCAAACAATATTTATATTAAATATAATATAGATTCGTCTATCGCGACTGTAATTTATAAATTATATAAATCACAAATGTTGCTACTGTGATCATTAATGTTTAAATATAATGTTGATAATATTTTAATATAGTGTGCCCTTATTATTATATAAATTATATTTAGCATGTTTTTTATATATTCGACTTCAACAAAAAATATAGAATTGCTTTATTTTTAAAAAAAAAATACCAAATTTAATAAAAAAAAAAAAAACAAACGTCGAACTTATACTATCGTTGTTTACTTCTTTTGTTGTACATTCATTTTTCATTTTCATTTTAGGTACAATTTTTGAGCTTTAGTCAATTTTTTAATCTTGTTAAAACATTATTATCTATTTATGTATTGTATTATATAAATGAAAAACAAATTATTATATTTTCAGTCTCTGTATTAATGTTTTAATTTTTAGAGATTTTAATAAAGTATAATACGAGAAATGTTTATGATTATATTATTATTTAATGCATTCCATTACAAACAAACATTTCAAATCTTATACATTTATTGCTATATAATTTTGTTCAAACGATATAATTTGTATATTTATTTACTTTTAACTTTTATTACTAATTAGTTTTTAGTTGTATTATTAAAATACATTATGCATTTTATTATTCTTTATATTAATTAAAAAAAATAATAAAGCTAAAAATATGAGTATTGATTTTTTACCTTTTAGGTTAATTATACCTTTATATTAACTATTTTTAGGGCCATCAAACTTATGAGATTTTGACGAATTTTGTCAAAATTCTAACTTTAAATTCTTATAAAAAATAATATTCTGGCTGGAAATTTTGATATTTTTGAATTGAATTATGAACCACTTATTAAAAATATTGTATTAAATTTTCAAGCATTTTTATCCTTTCATTAATTTTTTAGGGCGTCGTTAATAATCGCACACTTTCAAAAAAAGATCGTCATTCAAAACTGCACACTTTTATATCTTAATCCCGCATATTTTCCCCAAATTATACCGTTCAATACCACACACATTAATGTATATCAATAAAATATACATTTATCTAAAATAACATGATCGTTTAGTACTGCACTATAGTTAATCATATTTAATCAAGATCACAAAATCTGAAACTAAATTTAGACTCATACGAAACAACAACGTAAACCATACACGTAAAGTATGTAGGGAAAAAGAAAAATACATTTTAAATTTATAAAATCGTTTCATGACCAAGGAATAAATTGAATTGATTATTTAAAAGCATTAGGGTATACATTTATTTCAATTTAATTATATATATAATTATTTTTAATTCATACTAAGTTATTTTTTTAAATTATTTTTTATACAATAAAATATGCTTAATTTTTAACTATCAATCAAATGTGTGCGGTTTGAATGGTGTAAAATGTGCGGTTGCCGGTTATGAACGGTAACTGTGCGGTAATGACGACCGCCGACTTTTTATAATCATTTATAAAAAAAAAAATCAAGTATTTCAGTTGTTTACAAAAAACTCAAAAAAAAAAAAAAAATCAAAGTATTTTAAAAACTGTATTATTTATATATGAAATGATTAACTAAATACTTAGTGAACATTTCAAGTTACTATAGTTATTCATTTTTTTTTCAAACTATAATAAAATAAAAAATAAATTTTATTAAAAATTGGTTCAGCGTATAAGTTTTCTTTTTTTTAAATGTTATTTTATTTTTTTTCAATTAAAAAAAAAATGCGAATATAATTTTTTACTTTTGACCCCAAGATACCAAATAAATCCAATTTACTATCAAAATACATCTCCAAAGATGAAAATCAAAGTATTTTTACAACCCCAAAAAGTGAAATAAAATGTCTCAATAATTGGTAAAACTAAAACATGCATCGCTCTATTAAGAATCTACATTAATAGTAAACAAACGGTATGAAAAAACATAACTACGTAAACATAGACTTTTCCAATAAAGCCTTAACAATGTAAAGATTGCAGTGGGCCGTCTTATTTGATAAAGAAATTAGATGACTTATTTTCTGGGGCGTCTGTGCGCATGGCCTCAAAAGCAAATAAGTCTTTATCAATGTTTAGAATCTTCTTTTTTTATGTTTTAAAATGTATATAAATAAATAATTATAGTGCCTTCACTGGGAGGTATCTTTAATCCGTCCTTCACGTCATAGTTATCTAATTCTTCAATTTTACTTATTGTTCAAAATGTATGTAACAGATTGTGGAAATATAAATTAAGTAATAAAAAAAAAAAAAAAATTAATAATTATAATAAAATGTGAATTTTTTTGTTTGTTTTTTAAAGAAAAAATACAATCTATATGTAGGTATGTATTACAATAAGTATAAAGGGTGTTTTTAAATACGATTTTTTGATGTAGGTAAAGAAACCATGAAATGATGGCACTTGAATTTTATTTAAAATAAAACGACTACTATTTATATGGGGAGGGGCGCATGTTTATATTTATTCACCCAGGGCGCCAATGAAACTACCGGCGCTGTTATTCAATGCAGTGGATAATATTGATGATATAAATATTTTTAAGATTGAACTGATATTTAATAGTGAAAAATTTACAATAGTTATAATTATTATGTATCCATCTTGTTGAATACTATATTATTATAATATGAAAACAATTGTTTATAATAGCCCCTTTTAATATATACATAGGCAATAGAACATACAGTATTGTGGCGACCTTCTTATCAAGAAGTGATAAAACATGTACGAGAAGTCGGAAACGGACGTCTTCGAATTGGCGGTTAAATATCATGTAAACAATGTTTATACTTCATGTCTTCTGTTATTTGGACATTGATACCATTGATATAGTCTGATTTACTGGTTTTACGTTGTAACTAATTTATTGTGATTTCTAATGTTTGTTTAATGCTCGTGTTTCTAGTTCCCTTGAAATGTAAAATATGGTATTTACAAAGTTGATAATTATTTAGTTAATAATAAGTAATTATTATAGAATTTCATTTAAATGAATTTTACACCATATGACATTTTTATGTAATTAACTTCTTTGTGTTTATTTATTCATCAAATTTTGAATATTTAGTACTGTATATATTTTTCAACCATGAAGTAGTATTAAATTTGACAATACACATCAAAATGAGTGAAAAATCATTCAAAACAGTTAAAACTAAATTGCTAGAATGCAACAAGTTACCAGAACCAATAAAGGACATAATAAAAATAACGGTAAGATTATTTTGTTTAAATTTATACTCTTCTCAAAATATAATGAATTTAAATCACTAAATCTTTGTATTAAACATTTATTTAAACTATTAATATTCAAATAATTAAACTGTCCTTTCACAATTATTCAATATTTTATTAAATACTTGAATAACTTATTTACCTATGTATTTTATAAAAAAAATATATGAGACTACCAGAGAGACTACTTATCAAATGTAAATGCCAACAAAAATGCTATGATTAGTAATAATATAAAATGTATACATTATTATATATCTTTTATTTACCTATCACATTAATGAATCATAACACTATAAATAATTTAATGTATTTTTTTTTTTATTTAGAGCAACAATTCATTAAAAGACTTAGATGGAAACAATTTCAATCAGTTATGGATTTTAACACATGATTTTGTTAAGGAAATGACACTTGTTGACAATATTACACAGGATGAAGAGTTATTGCTATGTTATCAATCAATTTTAAATCTTGTTAACTATACAGTTACATGCGCCGATGAAGACATAATAGGTGCATATGAACAGAATTATTTATTTAAAACAATACTGGTGTTTCAAACTTTTTATTCTACAAATCTCAAATATAAGGTAATTACGTAAGATCTATTAATACTAAATAGTAATTAAGTAACACTAAAAACTGTAATAAGTAATAATATAATGCTGTAATTTTAAACATTTTTATGTTTCAAAATCATAAAAATGAATAAAGTACTGAAAAGAAAAATCACATATACTGACGGCTCACAAATATATTATATTTTGTTTGTTAATCTAATTATGGTTTATTATTTTCTAAAAATTTACTTATATGTTGATAAATTAACATTTTTGATAAGTATATATAAATAAAAATTCAACTTAAAATTTTTTACTATTCATTTTTTTCTTTTTTTTTTAATTCCCTTAAAGTATAATTTATTAAAGAACTATTGTATTACCATTTTTAAACAGTAATTAATAATATACATGATAGCAAAATATTTGATTAATACTTATCTGATTATAATAATATACTTTATTGAATAATTTAATATTTTTTTTTAGTTCAAATTAGATATAGCAAAGATGTGCTGTAGCTTCTGGCAATTAATAACTTCATCACCAACACAAAATGGATCTGACAATATCAATTTAGACTTAATTTTAACTCAAAATTTTGTCTTTACTTTTAATTATATATTTGATACTATTAAAGTGACTACTAAAAAAATGGATATGGTAAGAATATCATACCTACCTACAATATATTTAAATATGTTTTTTTTTTTTTTTGTAATAAGTAATTTTAATTGATTATTTTGTATGTTATAGAAAGTTCTATCTACTTTACTGTGGGAATTTTGCAAAGTTGTGAGCACTTTATCTTCCAATATAAATGGATTGAATTTAATAGTTCCCAATTTGAAAAAATTAATGAAGTGTCCATTGTTTTTGGAGACTGAAACAGGAAAATTAGCTATCGCAGATATATTTACTTGTAGTCAACAACTATTTCATGTAAATTTTAAGTAACAAATAATTTGAGACCAATACTTATATGCAGTGGCATTTTTATGTTTTTTTTTTTTTTTATTTATTATAAAATTAAATAACAATAATAATAACTATCCTCTCATCAATATTAAAATTGTTATTTGTATGATTATTTGCTTTTGTTAAAAAAAAACTGAAATGAAAATAATTGGTTTTTATTTCTTTTCTTTTTCAAAATACATATACCACCGCTTATTATAGATAACTCATATCACATAACTATTAAAAAGTAATGTTAATATATTTAATATGTTTTTTGTAGAAATTTCATCAAACAGTCAAACAAAATTTACCAAAAGCAAAAAAGTTAGAAGCTGAATCATATGGAGAAATATATTTTATTTCATGGATAAATTCTAATTCATCTATTAGAGAAGTAATTTTCTTTATAAATAGTTTAATATTAATTAAGAATTCTACAATAATTATAAAATTACAGGTTATTGAAGAACAAATGTTTGACTTAATATCCAAAACATTAACATTAAAGCGTACAGGTTTAGCTTTTTGTACTTATCGTAATGCTTTAATTCTTTTGCAAAGTTTGCAAAATCACAGAAAACATTTAATGTTTAGCAAGGTCATAACTAAACTATATGCTCCTGTTATTTGGAGACAACTAACGGTATGCTTTTCAATTTTATATTTAAAATAACTTCATATTTTTATTTTTAAAGTTATATTTTTTTTTTCATTTACCTACTCAAATAGAGTGAATTTAGTGTGATTAGATGCAATGCTACTGATATTTTAGCAAGAGCTTATCCTTTAGAAAAAAGAGGAGAAGGTCGAGAAGTATCTTCAAGGTTTTTAATAAAACAACAAAATGCATTTTTGGATTTACTAGTGGATGTATGTCCTCAAGTTCGAATAGCAGCTATAAAAGTATGTAAATATATTTTAAGTATACCTATTTAGATTATTAACCATATACTTTTTGATTTTAATGCCACATTTTTGTATTTATCATTTTATTTATTATGAATACAAAATTACATTAACATATTAATACACAGACTTTATTAGCAAAATATCTAAAACAATCGAGTCCATTCCATTAAACTAAATAATACAATAATAAAATCACTAAAAACCAAATGTATTAATAACTTTATAAAACAATATTTATAGGATATTTAATTTGTCTATACCATCTTTAATATCTATTTCCAAAATATTTTTTAAGAACCAAACTTAGAACTTTATAAATATTTAAATAAAATTCTTTAAATTGATACAATTAAAAATGTATTCAATGAATTTGACTCATATGGTATAAATCTTTGTAGGGAATTTGTAGCTGTATGAGATATTTTTGGAATTCTTTTGAAGATGATCAAATAATTGAATGTTTTAAAATATTTATACGTTTAATTGATGAAAGCATATTTGAAGTACGAAGAGTTTTATTTTATGGATTTTGTCAGTTACTTGAAGAATTTAAATCCCATAGTTATTTTAGAAACCCTTTTCTTATTACAAAAATGAAAAATACATTTCATGATGAGAATGAAAAAGTTAGACGTGCTTTTATACATCTTCTATTGAAAATAAAAAAGATTGATTCACAGTCAGACACTAAAGATAAAATCAACTTTACCAAAATAGTTGATTTAAGAGATATTGCTTCTGCACTTGCTGTAAGTAAAAATATTACATATTATTATAAATCTAAATCAATCAATAATTAAAATGTTTCCATTGCATTTTCATTTTTTAATTTATTCTAATTTTTAATTTATTTAGCGTGAAGATAAGCAAAATGGATTTTTACTTGTTGATTTAATTTTTGATAATTTTATTGGAAGTAAAGTGGCAGACAGACATACAACACTTACAAGATTTTATACGTTTTACAAAATTAATCCAAATGCTTTTCGTAAACTGATAATTTATTCAGAAAAACACCTAGACTTTCATAATGCTTGCAAACTTATTTTATCATTGTTAAAAACTATATATAATGCACTGAAAAAAAAAGAAGAACGTTTAAAAAATTTAGACAAAGAAAATGACATGCCCCCAAAAAGACATAAATCAAATGATGATTCTGGTAATAAAATTAATGTGTTAACAAGAATATTTCAAGATATTTTATACTAATATTGTATTCTAGATTTAACCAATGATACACATAATTCATCTTGCAGTTCATCCATTAGTAATAATGAAGATGAAGAACAAAATGAAAGTAATAATATATGTTGTGTTTTGGATTGTGTTCACTGTCTTATGATACTTCATCGTAATGAATTTAAGAATGAAAAAGACCATCAACAACTAAAAGATATTCAAGATTCTTCTGTCATATGTTTAATTAAAATATTTAAGTTCTATAAGGTAATCATTTTTTTATTTTTATTTTTATCTTTTCAAAATGTTAAAGCAATATGCAAACAAATTAGTAAATTTATAATTAAATAATAAATCTGTTATTGTATCATAAATAGGAAGGTGATGCTTACTACAGTGCAGTTAGCTTAGCAAGTTTAATGCCTTTATCAAAATTGAGTGCTCATGTATCTATAACAAGTACAGCATTATCCACCTTAAAACAATTGCCTTATGATATAAATCAAGCAGAAGAAGAAATTGATATGCGAAAAGTTAGTTGTTTGGTTTATTCATTATGCATGTGGAAACGAGGCTATGAGATACTTCAATTTGTAAATGTTTGGTTTGACGAAGCATTCAAAACTTTAAATCTCAATGAAACACAATACCCGGTATAGTTTTGCTTAATTAAAAATCATGTTGTGAAGGTCAATAATAAGCAATAATTTATTTTTATACTTAAGGATTCTAAAATTGATAGAGGAAAAAGGGTCAGATTCAAAATAAATTTTGATGAATGTAAACCATTGACTGGTATCTTATTAATAAACACAATGCTTACCAATTTACAAACACAAAAAACACTTACAGATTCTGATGTCAATAAAAAAAATACCTACGATCTTTTCTTGTACTTGAAGCGTGTTAAGGTGAGTCAAACATTCATTATTTAATAGTTAGTTTATTAATTAATTTACAAGTGGTTATTTTATCAACATTTTATTAAGTTTTTTAGGCAGATTGATTATATATACATTGCTATGAATTTAATGCATTAAGGAACCATGAAATATCCATGTACTCAAAAATAGTTAAATTTGCACTATAAATTTCTAAAATTACACAAAATTAACTTGATAAAATTAATTCATTATTATGTTTAAAGCTTAAAAATACCGATCAATATATAGGTTTAAAGACATCATACCTACATCTGTTATCTCCTTCTTACCAACAAATAACATACTACAATTTACGTTCAGCAGTTTCAACTTTACGTTGTTAACTTAAATTTAACAATGACTTGACCTATTATCAAAACTAATATTTTACATTCCCATAACTTGCTTTTAAATTAAGAATATCTTTAAAAACTAATGAAAAAATACATAATGTTCTGTTTTGACTTCCTCTTAGGAGAAAGTTATATCTGCATATTTTGTTTCTATCTTACAAGTTTTTTAACATAGAAAATGTATATTAAGTTCAATTATATAAGTTTTAATATTAAAGTAAATTAAGTGTATTATTAAAATTTAAGATAGCTACCAAAATTGTCTTTATATAACTTTATTTAATTATTTTTAAATTTTAAAATAGTTGTAAATCTAAAAACACTTATTTACTTGCTTCTTAATTAAAATATCGATAAAACATAAACAATAGTCTTACCTTTAATTTGATGATAATTCAATTAATTATAATATGAAATTAAATACATTCATATGCATCTGTATACATATAGCTAAGTTTGTCTTAGCTTCCTCTAAAGATATTAGTTTTCTCTATAAATTCAATATTAACATTTTTATGGTCATAAATCAGTGATTCTCAATCTTTATTTCGCGACCTACTTGGTTTCATTTTTTAAAAATTAGTTAAATTAAAAAAAAATAATAATAATTTTAAAAAAATATAATAATAATATAATATAATTTAAATCTTTCTAACAAAACGGTAAATAAAATAACAACTAACCAACGATGATACATTTTAGTGACTAATATTGAACCAACAACGACTGATAATTGTCTTTGTCGAGCTGCCACTTTATCCTATTTTATCGCAAAATTCTGCATATTAATACTCATCGAAATAAATAAATATATGACAAATTATTATTTAATACCCACGTAAGTTTTGGTACTACATTACTATAATAATATAAGTATATTTAATAACAATATAACAATAATATATTTGATATTAATTTAACATACATTTCTTGGAATTTATATAATTCAAAAAAATTGTTCACGACCCACCAAAAATCGACTGACAACACACAGTTTGTTGAGAAATGCTATCATAAATCATTAAATTGAATCTAACCAAAATAGTAAATTATGTAAATTTTTCAATAATCTCGCATTCTTACCTGTACATAAATCTTCTAGGTAACACCTTAACATGGCTAGCCCTTTTAGTACTAATAAAAACTATTAACTTGTCAAATTCATAAAATAATATATTAAATTATGTTGTTTTAAGTAATTTATGTTTTTAATAGTACGCAAATCAAAATAAAAAGGTTGAAAATAGGTCCATCGCCATATCTCCTTTATGAAACTGCATCTACAATAAGTTAAATTATATTATATACTTCTTATCTTTAAATAAAAATAAAGCTGTAAGAATTGAGCTTTTGAATCCATCATTTGGCTTTTAATATGTAGTCTTTCCAACTTGAGTATTCTTATTATTTATAATATTTTTAATATAAATTCTAACAAGTACTTTAATTTGTTACATATTTTATTTGTTAAAAGATTATAATGAACTGATTTTTTTGTATTACAATAATGAATCAAGATTTTACTGATGTATATTTTTTACTCATTTATGTATTTTTAATTTTTAGGCAGCAATTGAGAACCGAATATCTTCAGATAATGTTTTAAGTAACTTATTATCAGATGAAGTCTTAATTGAGTTATTTTTACTACATAATCGATTACATTTAATTTATCATAGTCAGGAAAAAAACATTGATGAAATTATAAAGTATCAAACTTCTATTTTAAATTGGGTCACTAAGTTAGTATTTATGATAGTAAATTAAACTACTTAATATACTGTTAAAAAAAAAAAACAATAATTAATTTAATTAATTAAAATTCCAGCAATCTACTTATTTCTGATTTACACCATAAAGATAAAGCTACTATCAAATTTGCCGTTAAAATAATAGAAATTGTTAATAAAATAACATTAAATATGTGTTTAATGGCTTTTGTGAATACAACATATTTGGATGATTATATTACATTTTGTGCTACTGTCTTGCATAGTAAGTTAATATCTACAATAAACATTTTTTTTTTTTTTTTGTAAAAACATATTTATTTGAATATGACTTAAATGATATTTAAAATTATATTTTGATGTTTAGATCATTTAGGTCCTTGGCTTTTAACATCAATGATCGCAACTTTAGCACATATCTCAAAATATTTTAACTATTTAAAATATGTGGATAATCATTTCAATGACACATCAATATTGACAAATTGTGTGTGTAGTATTATATCAGTTCTCGGTGAATCAAAATTTAATGCCGATCGTTTTATTAGTGTTATTGGGGTAAGTTATTTTAAATCTGAAAAAAATAAAACAAAAGAAGAAATATCTTAATTATTTAATAAAAGCAGCTATTTATTAATATCTTAAATATTTAATTGTATCTGTTGGTGACAAATTATAGATTTATATACCTAAATAAAAACCTTAAAATATTACATTAATATATTAATTCCTATGTATATTGCAATAAATACCAGAATTGAATATAAACTAGAAATTTTAGTAATAACTAATAGTTACTAAATATGATGGTAAGAACTCAATAGTAATCATACTTAGCTTCATTTGTTTTAAGAAACAAAATTTTGTTCATTGACATTGTCTATAAAAGATTCAACTGATTAATGTATCTGTAAATAGAATAGAATAGTATGCAATTTAAAAGTGACAACAGTACACCATACTTAATTAATAAATAAGAATACATACTAATATATTTTTTATAAACTGTTCAAATACACGTATTTAAACTCAATTATTATTTGCTGGAAAATGATAATAATACTGTAAAAATTAGTATTAGTTGAGAAATGATATATAAAAACTAAATGATAAAATAATTTGAGTTCATACTATATTATCAATAAAATCGAATTCTTACTACTCCCTTAGTTACTGTGAGTTCTTATTTTTAAAATAAATGTATTTATTTAAAATGATTACATTGCTATAGCAGTTTATTAAGCATTATCATTATAGTTATATTTAAAATTAATTGTATGTTGAAGGTAATTTTTAATTTAAATAGTTTAAACTTTTTAAAATTGCTAACTAAATATTTAATATGTTAAATAATGATTAGGATACAAAAGCATTTCGAAGTAACTTGATTATGCAGATTTTGGAAATTTATAAAACAAATACAGTGGAATTCAATCAAGTTTTTATGACACTCATTGAAACTATTATGAATATTATTGCTAATCAAATTCGAGAAGTGAGTTTTTAAACAATTTTATTTTAAAAAAATAAGTTTTCAAATAATTTTATTCTTAAATAACTAATTTACTTTTTTGTATTCTAAAATACCAAATTAATAATATGCTCTGCTAATGTTTTTATTATCTGTAATGTAATAATTTTAGATTGACGAAATTGATTTAAATGAACACCTTACAGAAATGCCATTTGCTAGTTATCAGTTAGCAGCGATAATTTTAAGCAATACAAAGTTAAGAAAACATTTTTCATCTAATGCAGTTGTAATATTCTCATCTGATGTATTTAAAAATGTAAGAATTCAATTTATAAAAAATACTCTAGTACTATTTTGAATTTGTATTAATAGTTTTTTAATTTTACTATAGGACTGTGTTTTACTGCTATCTGCAATCTCTTATGTGTATACATTATCATTTCAATTAAGTAAAACAATAGTAATTGATCTTGAACCAGTTGTAAAACTGCTCTATAAAAATTTGATGGAACATAACATAGTTAGAGCTCCGCTTGGTGATAACTGCACTATAAATAATACAAATGCTGAACGAGGCGTATCAATCTTGGAAACATCTAACTTCAGTAATGAGTAAGAGATAATTTAATGTATTATATATTTTATAATAATTATATATATTTCAAAAATGATGGAATAATTCAATGTTTATTACAGAATAACAAATTTCAAACAAAAAGGACGCAAAGTCTTGATTGCAACTGCTAAGCAATTGCATGTTACTTTATCTGAGTAATACAATTACATTTTTCCCTTTACAAGGAAAAATAGTTTTATTAAAAATAAAAATAATGTGATAGATTAATATGCATATATTACTGTTTAAAACCAGCAAAGAAATTGATGTTTGCTAATCTATATAAATTTTTTTTTTTTTGATTAAATATAAATAAAAATATTTAAAATTTTACCATGTGTGAGAATGTTATGTTATGTGCCAAAACATCATTACAATACTTATGGACAAAAATAAGATATTTTTTAAACATACTTTCATAACTTTTTTTATGTATAGGTACATATTTAAGATGTTGATAAAACTGTTAACTGAATTAACTTATGAACAAAAATGTGAATTTTAAGAGACTAATTTGCATTAAGAGTGTATTTTTATTTTACTTTTAAATATTTTGTATCCTACATTACAATGTATAATTATAAATTATTATTACTTATAGACTAAACTACTCTATAAAAATAATTTTAATGAAAACCACAGAGGTGAAGACAATAAACAGTGCAATTCTATTTTGAACAAAATGGCTTTATTGTATTAAGGTATTTATAGTGTTTATACAATATTTAACTTTACTCATTTAATCTAAATATATCATATTGAACTTTGTAAACTATTTATGTTAGCGATGAACTTATCATAACACTTTTAGGTGGTTTTTTTAACAATGTTCTCCTTTTACTTTAAATCTTTTAAACAAATACTATCTTTATGATGTTTTTATTTGAATTATATGAAATAACAGTTAATATGACAATGTATTACCATTCTGACGTCTTTGTCAAAGCAGTGCTTAGACTACTCGTGTACAGTTCTTATTAAATTTATAATATTTAACTTAAAATATTATGATATTGATACATTTATGTTAGATCTTTAATTTTAATAATTATATTATGCCATTATAAATTTGTTTAATTGTCATAAAAATAGAATGTATTTTTGAACTTGCTGTCTATATTTTAAAACTTTTTAAATACCTGTTATGTTTCTATTGTAATAATTAATAAGAAATTTAATTTTAATTTTTTAAATATAATTATAATATTATTGTAATTTATTTTATAGTTAATAGCATAATTAAAATATCCATGCACATCTTTCTTAATCCTTATTACTATAAACCATGATAAAACAATTTGTAAAATGGAGACTTATTAGTTATTAGTTATTACTTATAATAATTATTAACTTATGACATTACTATATTCCAAGCTTCTAGGGTTAGATTAATTTTTATAAATTTATTCTTCATTCATAAAAAAAGAAAAAAGAGCCATCAGTTGACTCTTACTAAAATGTAAAAAGTTAATATCAAAATATTTAAATGATTTCTACAAAATAATGGATTTATTTTTAAAAGGTCAAAATTCTAATTTTAAACGCTCATGAACCAAATATTGTGACTAGATTTTCGATATTTTTGAATTGAGAATTAAACAAATTGTTAAAAGATTTGTATTAAATTTTCTAGTAGGTATTTTTACAATTTTACCCAGTGAATAATTTTTAATCTATATTTCTAAAAAAAAATTAAAGTTTATCATAAATGGAAAATTATAGTATAAACATTTAGTGAATAATTTAAATATATACAGTTATTCGTTTTTGAATTACACAAAAAAAAAAATTTATTTTGTCAAAAAGTTTAATTTGTTTAAAAATTTCCGTTTTCCTTAATTTTTAATTTTGACCTCTCCGGTGATACTGAATTGAGTCCATGTTACTTATATGTGTTTGAATTGAGTCCAGCTTATTATCTTAATATCTTTAATTGAATCCGTATAATAGATAAAATTTCATGATTTCATGACTATCTCATAGCCGGTGATAACTTGGTACTTTGCACATCATATTACATCGAATACGAATACGCAACGTTAACGGATATTCATCAACGGGCCGTTAATGTATACTCGTTTAAAATCAACCAGTCGTGCCGAACACTCTATGAACACACAATTAGTTAATACTTAGTTAATTATCAAATTATTACGAGTGAGAAATGGAGTGTATGTTTAGATATTTTGTTATATTTCCAAAAATAATAAGATAAGTATGTATACTTACTTGAAATTTCCAAATTATTATTTTTAATACCTATATTATGAAAAAATTTTCAATTTTTTTTAGTACTTTTCTATAACTGTCGATAAAAAATTATTCTCTTGGTAAAAAGTACCTTTGTTTATTATTATACAATTAAAAAAAGGACTCGACTCCGATAACCCAAAAGTATTTGCGGGACTCAATTCAATGTTATTCGTATAAACTATATCCATTTTGTTATCCAAAATAATTTTCAAAGTTGGAAATTTTAGCATTTTATCAATTACTTAACGTATACACACACACCTTTCGCTCAAAATCCAAAAAAAATTATTAAGATCGAAAAGTTGAATACTAACATGCTTGAGTAAGAAAGTAATTTTAAGAGAAAACAATATTAAATATACCAATAATATTTTATATAGGTATTTTACTTACATTCAATGTAAAATACACTTGCACATTACCTATGTGATTTATTTTACGTAAGGCCTACGACGTTTAAGTTCAGCATTAAAAATGAATAATTTTTTAATATACCTACTTGGTTTACGTATTTTTTTGCTTATGAACAGCATGATTTAGATTTCAATACATGCCGTCTATTTTCTTTGATAACTAATTTATATCTAGTGAAAATGGGTAAATTTTTGGCATACGATAAACGTAGTTTCCTTGTATAACTTTTTTGTTTATATAATATAATAAATAGCTTTGGTATGAAAATCAGACAATTTTGATTTCAGCATTGTCAATTCTACATATTATATATTATACGTTTGAATCCAATGTTAAAGATAAATATATTTTATATATAATTCATATTTTACAGGTTAAAATAGGGATATTTTTCGATTAAAAACGTTTAGGAAGCGTAGAGGCAGTCGAGAAGCTTACAACACCCTAACCTCACAAATCACACAGTGACGCGAGTACTACCAAAGCCAGCGTATATTTTACCTACCACCCCATATCACTGTGAACTCGGTAATTACTACGATTTTAGCTATGCCAATCAATCATGTAATATCATTAATTATAGAACAGACTATTATACATTGTAGTCTATTCTACTAATTTCTATAACCAATGGTAATATTAATTCGTCCACGGCAACTTTTCATCACCGTCGCCACTGTCAGATTTTCAATATCTCTGGCTGAAACCGAATGCAGTGAGGGATTATGCATATAATTTATAATAATTATTATTGTATTTACATAATAACACATACCTACGTGATGGATGATGCGATAAATGTAAGACACTCATTATTTCATGTAATAGGGTAACATTTATAAAAATATTTTTATCATGTAATTTTAAATCCTCACAAAACAACATTTTTTTTATCTATTTTTAAATTACCTACTTATTTTAAACAGAATTTGTACATTTTTAATTATTTAATACAAGTAAATACACATTTGACTATTATTTAATTTCGAAATTTGAAGACAAGTAGTAGCTTATAGGAAGGAGTGATTTTTTTGTCTTATTGCAATAGAACAAGAGGTCACCTATACCCAATGATACATTTATACCTATACATATTAATCACACTACAATTATTGATTAGTAAGTAAAAACTTATTTACATTTTACATTTTTTCTATCTAATCAACACGTCAATTATCATGACTGCAGTGATGGGTAATATAGCGTAGCTATAGGTACCATTCATGTTCTAATAATTTTGAACAGTTTACATTATTCCACACACATTTACCATTCAGTGAATATTTAATACCTACCTTAATATTATATTTGTGTACCTATCTGATACCAATTACAAAAAGAAGGAAATTTTCATAATAAATTATTGTGAACAATTTGATTCAATTTATTCAGTATAATACTACATTTTATTGTAAATTATAATTACTTTTGAATTTTAATTGACATTGATTTTTTCAACAGTTCAACATTATACGTGTTCCAAGTCAATCTTAAAATTATCATAAAGTATATTTTATCTTTAATAGGATACCTTAGATATCTATGTAATAAAAATAAAAATAATTGCATATGTATTGTTATGTGCAAATATGCAATAAACTGTTAAATACTGTTAATAACTGTAAATTAGTATAAAATATTAAATTTGAAGTAGTAAAACTTATTTTTTTAAATATAATATACAGTAGACGCCGCTTATAAGACTCACGGATATAAGGTTCAGTCGCTTATTAGACTCAAAATCGTCTGGAACGGTCTGGACGTATCCAAATATATTAAAAAAAATCGGTTATAAGTCTCAAATTTCGTAAAATAAATAATAGAAAATAAACTTTTTTGGTTATAATTTAGAAATAAATTGGTATTGAAAAATTAAATAATATTCGTGTTGATTATTTCTAGTTTCTGTTGGTATCTTATAACGTATAATAATTTTTATCGCAGATAAAAGTTCACATTTATCGCAACGATAATTGTTATTATAGTGTACTGATTATCTGGCGGCTGCACAGTTATCGTAATATGTAATATTTACCTATTATAATTTTAGTTTTTTTATCGGGATTATTAAATTTATTCAATAATAAAGTATGTAATATGTAATATGTGTTAATGTATTAAAATCAAAGCAAAATATGTAGTAAAATAAAATTTATAAATACGTAATTATTTTTTTTTTCCACTTCGCCTATAAAACTCATTCGGTTATAAGACTCACTTTGTGCTGGTCCCAAAGTGAGTCTTATAAGCGGCATCTACTGTATACATAATATTAACTAAAAATCGCTAAATAATAAAAACTATTTTAAAAATACATACTTAAACTTTAAATAGTTACCTATAGAAATAAAAAATGTCAGTAAAACGTATCGGTTTTTTTTCATAAATATATGTTTATTTATTTTCACGGTTTAATATTCATAATTATATATTGATATGCGATATGTGTTATATCACTTACAATGTATGCCACATTTACATCGTGTAAGTTGCATGATTTAAATAAATATGACAAATCCAATGTACATGATGTTCGATGCTTGTGAATACAGCTACTGATTTATTTGAATATAAATCCTTGATACTAAGTACTCCAGTTAAATATTGTACAGAATCATTATCTCCATACATCAAGCCCGAACCGCCAAATCCTATAAGATCTTTTTCTCCTGCAACTAAAATTTTGAAGTATTTCTTTATAGTTTGTACACATTAAACAGAAACATAAATTACATTATACTTTTATCATTTTCTCGGGACAAAATACTATACATGATAATTTATATAACTCAGTTACATACATTCTTTAAATTAATGCACATCTGTAAATAAACTCATACCTATAATATAATTCCAAAGGTCTCAAGTAGATACCTACCTAATTAAAAAAGAAAACAACTATAATATTTTGTTCTTTCTGACGTGACACTATAATTAATATTTTTAAACATTAAACACGCTTTGATATGATTTTAATCATAATATTTTTAATGAATCCAGAATTTAATATCTACATTTTTTGTATTGGTTTTGAAATTATAAAATGTCTGCTTCGACTATATTATGTTTAGAATTTTTTTTGTTTATTTAAAAAAATTCTATTATATTAATTTCATTGTCTTTGTCTAGTTTTGGACCTAGACTTGTATCAATGTAAGATTATTAATGTTGAGTTCCTTTCTTTGTTTTTCGCACATTCTGCATTTATTGAAGATAGTTTGATAGTGAGAGTGGTGCCGTATGATTGGTATATTGATGGATCACCTTTTGCCACCAAGTATCACATGTCAGTCTTGAATAAACAATTCTGGCCAATTTAATTTTTCTCGTTCTCTTCACTTTTTATATTTATTCATTTTAAGTATAAAATTGAACAAAATCAAATATTTAAACGAAGAATAACGATTTTAATTATTTAATTGTAATTTAAAAATATAATTCATGGGTATAATTATCATTATATTTCGTAAAAACAATGACGTTTTCCAATACCTAGGTACCTATTGAGTTTTTAGCAAATAATAATTTAATCTACTGTATTTAGTAATATTAAAATAAATTATTTTAATAAAAATTTAAATATATCATAAAACATACTTAGTTATTTAATTAGGATTACAAATCATCTTCAATGAGAATCGTTTTTTATATGTGTGCGGGCTGAGAGCGTATAAAGTAGTAATACAAGTGCCCGGACACCAAAAACAAAAAAAAAAACTTAAACTTCACGTACTAACACTTAACTATTTTAGACCTAAAAATATGTAGGAATAGCTGGTGTGTGTACTGTCGAGCTATGAAATACGTCTTGTGTATAAATATGTATGTAGTGTGTGTAAACTTAAAAACTAGTGACAGATAGGTAACTTAGTGTTAAATATAGTATAATTGAATGTACCTACATAATTACGGTTGTTTTTGAGCCAACAGGTAACAACGTATACTATATACTAATATATAATAAATAAATGGATTACGACCTTATTGGCTCAACAAGTAACAATGTATAATAAGACTGATTAAAACTGCCGGTTCGGCACAACCAATAATAAATTATAATAACTGCATAATTATTTATATATAAGACGATAGAACGATAAAACTCACACATTAAACAGTCGGTGCACGGCTGGTCAGCTGCTACCTATACTCGTATAATAAAATTGACTACCACAACACGAAACTAATTTACAATAGTATAAAAAATCACGGCAATTCGCGACCACACGTATAATAGTAATAAATAATAAATAAGTAGATGTGGCGGTTAGCGCCTATAAAACCAGTAATAATAAAAATGCATGAAGATTCGCGGCGTGGTATGATGAAGCGATTATAAATATAGAACGTCCTTACGTGAGGACTAGCGTCACGAAAGATACGTCATTGTAATGGTTACTATAGGTCTTAAAGCCCAAAAGATTACAAAAAAAAAAACACTATCTAATGGTATTTGAACAAAATATTTAGATTGATTTACTGCGGTCCGCGACAACGTAAGAAACCGGACGGTTCGACGACAATGAGGTTCTTCGGACGTAATTACAACAATAATTATTGTAATTTTTATAATAACTATTATTATGGACAATTATGTACAATCGGACAGCGGCCGTCGGGCCGTGCTAAAATTGCGCGAACCAGCGAGTTGACGGCGGCTGTATTATACCACGCGCCCTAAATGTGCCAGAGACGGACGATTACGCGTTGTTATATTATGATTAACATATCAACGCAATATAATATAATTAACAATGGCAATAATTATTTTTAAACATAACTAAAATAAACAAATATAACGAATATATAAAATGTGTGTAACTTATTATATCGGCGGAAACAATATGAGATGATCACTTAATGTAACAGAGTACCCATATCCTTACCTTTTTACTAATATTTTTGATGGAGTAAAAGAAAATTACAATTTAATTCATTTTTCACTCATAATTTTACTTAGTATGTATTGTAGATATTTGAATAAAATGTTTGAATATCTAATTAGAATGTGCAATTAGTTTACAAAATAATTGATTCTCATGAATATTTTGATATTCCCGAGTATTTACAGGAATTTATGTTCAGTTACATTTATGAAAATCGCTCAACCTTCGGATTGAGGATTCATAAAGCCAATTGATATTCATCAAAAGCGTAGTCATTAGTTCAATAGAATCCTCAGTTATTTAGGTTATTGTTATAAGAATCATAAGTGTTTTATTACCCATTTTATAACCCGTGCAGAATTTATCTTTGGTCACGTAACTTCTAAATCCATTTGTGTACATTTTCTGACACGTATTGTGATTAATATATGGTAAAGTATATAATTTTAATATCGATTTATCTTGTCCATTACCATTCATAATATTATTGATTCCCAAGCCAAACATCTATAAAACACATGTATACAGTTTTTATTAAGATGGTGTAAGATTATGACAAATACAATGGTAGTACGGACTCATAATTTTTAAAATAAATAATAATATCTCTAACAACCACAAATTATATACAAACATAATATAGTACTTCAGTGAAATATATGAATGAAATTTAATATTAATAGCTTATTATTTTAAATAATATTTATTAATAATCATAAGAATACTGAAATAACTTATTAATTCAGGATTACTAAAATCAGGATTAGTTGCAATTAGGTAGTTTATAAATCATTTTAAATACTCGTATAGCATATTTGTATAATCTGTTTTGTTTTTGGGTTATTATTGCACAATAAGGAAATTTATTGATGATTACAGCACCATATAGGTTTCCAATTTATATAACTAATATATAGGTAAAAAGGGGTTATCATTAAGCAATTGTTATCGATAAATAAATATCATAACTGTTTAAACTACTTAATTTATGTAAATATAGTTTTTAATTTCTTCTGAAGTTACAAATATTGAAATATAAACTTATGTTTACTTATATACATGCTAAATATATTAATTATTCTAAATAGACAGTAAATAATTTATAAACGATTTGGTTTACCTTTCCTAGATCTCCATTGAAAAGTGAATATGTTGTTGACCAATCAATAGAAGCTGGAAAAACACCATTACTATTGATGATGTCAGTTGCTAACACAATTACAGAAATGTCATCAGCATAAAATCCAGCCGGGCCTTCATAACTTTCCTTTAGATAAATTAATTTGACCTAAAAATGTAAATATTTTATTATTATTATAATAACAATTTTAGTAAATTTTTCAAACGCCAAAGTTTGTATATTATTTATATTAATTATTTACGTCTATATACTGTGTATATTGATTGTCTATTACAGAAAAATCAGTAGTTGTTTTTCCGACGGCAATTTTAATACTATTATTTTCATTCAATATAATTTTTCTCCTTAACCCCTTTTTCCAAAAACAATGAGCAGCTACAAAAAATTTAAATTAATTTTTTGTTAAGTATATAGCTTAAAGTTTTTACCAGAGACAACTAAATTTGGAGCAATTAGTGTTCCTCCGCATATTCGGTAATATTGACCATCGTTATTAATTTTATATATTTCCGCATTCCAAGGTGCTATTACTGATGACTCGCTCACTCTATTTAAGATTAATTCGTCACCTGTAAAATAATAAAATGAATACATTAATTAATTCTCTGATAATCCTAGATAAAAATTAAATATAAAAACTAAAAATAAGTATTGTCAGTTTAAAGATATATAAATTTTAGTTTCATAAATTTAGGTATGATATTGATGTAAAATAAATATTTTTGTATACGGATATAATTGAGGTATAAATCTAAATCTAAATTATTGGGTTCCGAAATTTTCAATTTGTCTTACGCAAAGTCAGTAATGAATATTTAATTAAAGTATTCTATACGAAAATGTATTTTATTTTAATTACGTGATGTACAAGTGGTAAGTAATTGACCACTCCATTTTGCATTTTGAAGACAAAGTAGCTCATTAGAAGTATCCATTACTTTTTGTCCTTTATGTGAATTTGTGACTTTACAAGATTGTGTTAATTTAGTACCAGGTTCTGATGGTGTTGAACAATTTACATTATTTCCATTCAGCGAACATTTAATATCTATTATATCTGAGACCATAGGAGGACACTTTTCTAGAATATATAGAGGAAATATTATACGTATTATACATTTTATGTCATTTAATATAATTTATATTTAACTGTAATAAAACAAGTTTATTACTATTTGTTTATGTGGTATGAATTAATAAAATTATACGTATCTTACTCAAACACAATGTTTTAGAAACAAATGGCATCCATTGTCCAGAATCCGAACAAACCATAAATTTGTGTGGAATATTTTTATAATATCCTTCTTTACAGTCCACTTCAACTATGCGATATTTATCAACAACAGCACCATTTGGTACGGGAACGTTTTGAATTAAATCCTTATAAAAATGCTTAGTTCCCTCAATGGTTGGTATCACACAAGTTTTGCTAAATGCAAAATTAACGTAACAATTATATGTTAAATTCTTTTATTAAACAAATATTTTATTTCTACACAGAAATAGATATAAACAATTTAAGTATCTTTTTTAAAACACTTATATTTCTTGAAATATTACGAAGATCTATATTTTAGGTCAAGAATTCAAGTATGAGTACTTTTGATTGGAAGAATTGTCCATCGACGTGTTTAGTGTGATTAATGGAATTAATGTAGAGGATGAGATGTTTGTAGTTGTTGATGCTGTAGTTATCGATATAGTACTCGATTCCGTAGTTGTCGATTCCGTAGTTGTCGATTCCGTAATTGTCGATTCTATGATAGTTGACTCAGTAGAATTCGATTGTTTTGAAGTATTTTCAGAGTTATTTTCAGATTCTGTAGTTATTGGTGGTGAAATTAAATCGGCACATTGTGCCTCATCAGAACCGTCTAAACACTGATTTACACCATCACATTTACTTCCTAAACTTACACAAGCACCATATTTGCACTTGAATGCGTATGTTGGACACCTTTAAATTTTAATATCAAATATTTATTTATATTTATTTTTATATAATAGTTATATTAAACATGTATTTATATTTTTAACCATTAACAACTCACGTGATCGATCTACATAGAATTTCTGTTTCATCAGATCCGTCTTTGCAGTCTTGTAATCCATCACAAATAGATGTGATATCTATGCATTGGCCAGATTTACAAGTGTACTCCAATTCACTATAAGAAAAAAACTAAGTATATAAGGAAATATTTATTCTATAATTAATTAATTTTTCACAATACTATTGGTACTTAAATCTGCGTTTTAAAAACCCGTGACATAATATGTATTTATAAATTTATTGTTTAAAATAAGTGTTCATTAATTATATTTTTTAAATATACATTAACTATAGTCTATACTCTATAATACAAGCCGAATAGAAACGCTACTTTTTTAAAAGACTTATATAAAAGATTTGATGTACTTATTTTTAGAAATATGCTATCAATAAAACATCAACTATTTCATCGAGAATTAGATTTTACATGATGTTACTATTTTATTGATAATTATACATTTTTATCTAAAGAAAAATCTAACTTCAATTTTAATAATTATGCTATCTTTTATGTATTAACCTTCGTAAAAATATCAATAATTTTTAAATTATTATTACCTTTTTTTAACTTATTTATAATGTTTAGGTACTTAAAAATAAGTTATAAAGTTAAACCATTATACATAAAATCAATAGTTAATTATTATACTAACTCTGAGCAAATTAATCCGGTTTGTCGTTTTTTAAATTCTTTTTCACACAAAATAACCGTTCCTGAAATAATCAAAAACCGTGTATAATAAACTATAATTTTATGTTAATAAATATTTTTTTGAAATTTGAACAAATAGCTTTTGAGTTATTGAGTTATTTAACTTTGTATACTAAGGATAATAGGTTCACGATAAGGAGTTAGGAAAATATAGAGGTTATAATGATTTGAAAATCGTAGTAATTAATATTATAAAATTTTAATATTAACCATTCAACATTTTATAATTCGTAAAAATTTTCTAAATATAAAAATTCTACATGATCAATATTACATCTATTTAATATTTTGGTAAACTATATTTAAGAGCTATATTGTTTAAAATCTAAATATGTACATTTTAATAACTCAGAAACTATTCGTTCATCGTTCAAATTTAAATTTAGATACTCATTTAATACTTCTATCAACATTTTCAAGAATAATTATTTGTTTAATTTATAGTAAAAAAGGTTGGTTTTCGTTTGAAAAAATAAAGTTGACAATAAGATAATTATTTTGATGTATAATAGATGCATGTCAAGTGTACCTCGTAGTTTAAAAAAATATTGTAATGGATAATATGTTTAACTTGAATTAAATGATAAATTTGTATTTATTGTATACGAAAAACAAATTTGAAAAAAGATGGTTTTGAAAATTTAAAATCCCCATTAATAACTTGAAAAAAGTCAAACCATGTAAAAAATAATATGGTAGTTTAAATATTTAATAACATTTTCAAGTATCTACGTTATTCATTTTTTGCACTACGACAAATCAGCAAAATTGATATTGTTGAGAACTAGTTATTAAAATTCTAATTTAAATAGTACCTACTATTAACGCACGGTCTAAAATAGTATTATAATATACGTACCCAATATGAAATATGAATATATAACCAGAATAAAAGTATACGTTGACTTCATGGCCGATGACGAAAATATTGCAGCAAATAATATTATGATATTAACAAGTTATATATTATGTAATATTTACCAATCTATATTATGTTAAATAATTCACATAAAAATAAATACTATTCATTGTACATTTCTGAACGATTACTGAAAAATACTACCCGTGTATTGCTTATAGAATTATTATTTTTGTATTTTTAGGGATATATTAACCACTAATAATATTACACAACTGTTAGGTAGAAGTTTTAAATTAATAATGGTTCAAATGGTATTGGTTGAAGTGCCGAAGAACCAAAATTATCATCATTATTTTGAAGAAAGGTGGGAGACCTGGATGTTGTTTCATCCATGATTATATTTTGTATACATTGTAAATTTATAAAAATTAGTTAGGTACAAACATTTATCACATTAATTGTTCATTTTGTCTTTGTCTATTTGTCAAACGAACCAATATACCAATTATATACTTTGAAAATAAAAATCAAACATTTTTGTGTATGCTTAATATTTTACAAAGTGATTTGATATGACATTTTTTAATTTCTAAAAAATTAAAGAAAAAGTAATACATTGCAGTTTCTAATAGCTCATTCCAATTGACAAAATTATAGTTAAGTAGTACCATAGTACTACGGATACCTGATAAATACACAAATTCTTGGTTTTATTAAGCTCTACCTATGTATACCTAGCGTTTTATAAAAAAATTTTAATAATTTTATTGTTATGATATTATTTTGTAGATTTTGGCGGTTTCAATTAATTTCTACGAGTTAAGTATGTTATTGTTGAGGTATGCGATTTACTTATAAATCAAATACCTATGTAAATTTGCTTATTTTGATATTTTTTTACTTAGTTGTCGAGTTAGTATCAAATTTAATTATTAAGGATTTGACTATCCAAGATTGAGGTTCTTGTTTAATTTACGTTTATATTCCAGCATCAGATATATGTATATTTATATCATATCCTTATTTTGGTAATTTGGTATTGTTTAATTTATATGTATAATGTATATGCAATTTGTTATACGTTACATGTAGTTTGTATTTCAAGTACAACAAAATACAATTTTTGCACGAATCATGCATAACATATTATAAACAGTTAATAATTTTCCCCCTCCCAATAATCAATCCATAAATATTCCAAAACCAAGGGCATACTACGTAAGTAAGTAATGAAAAATATACGTACATATAAGTAAATAAAGTTGTTTTTCAATTTTAGTATATTTACTAATGATCTCAAGTATTAGTATGCCGAGGTAAGTGAGTAAAACTCGTTACCCTATGTATAGGATGGAGTGATGGACACAGGTATTAAAGTTATAAGATATATAATTATGATATATATATAAATATATTTAAGAATTCTAGGTTATTCTGACCTTGATGCTCCAAACTACGTAAAAAAACGTAAGATTAAAACAAGTTTGTGTATACTATATAGGTATTCCCAGAAGGTTGCTTAGACATACATTGTTTTGAATTTGTGAAAATATCAGATAAACATCATCAAATTATTATTATCATATTATGTTTTGAAACTAATAATTTAATTTCGCCATTTTGAGTTTCTTGATCACGCGTTTATGTTTTTGCTTTTAAGATTTTAGTTTAGAGCTAATATAATATTTTTATATCAAAAATTCAAGGCTCAAACAGTCTCGAATTCGAAATAAACATATTAATGACACTTTATAATTATATTATATTTGTATGGTCTGATCAATGATCACACATTTTATGAATTATAATATAGCTGCCATACTATTTGGTAGTTTTGCGACAAGATAACAGAAATTGATACCTAATATTTTTATTTTTCAAAAAATCAATTTAAAGTTTGATTTTGATATGCAAATTCCAAAAATATTATTTATTCTTCACAAATAGTGTGACTATAAATAACACGGAGAAAAAAATGCCTTAAGGAAAACTAAGCATACCATCTGTTGCACCTTATAAAATAAACTTAACATAATAGTGTCAGATAGTGTAAGTATATTCTAAATAATAAGTTTACATTATCTTACCGAGTTTTACTAGTCTAAAACCCGCTAAAATGAATTAAAAATTAAGTTTGATACTTAGTCTAACCAAAACTGGATTTATCGAAGACATTAAGAGCATGTTTCGAGACTAGTCAAGATCCCAAATTTTTAGGCACTCGGAGGTCTATGATATAAAAATTATAATATGGGTTCCTATTCTGCGTACAAAAAGAAATATAGGTTTTAAAAATAAAAATGTTAGCTCAATTTCATAAATTATTCACACCAAAATATAGCCCAGTCTACAGAGTTTTACTCGGTAACTCGCTGGTACTATTTAAACCTGCCAATGTATCAGTATAAAAAACTGAAAATGAAGAATAGTTGTGATTCTAGATTTACAATTGTTTTCATAAACCCGATCTATGAATTATTCAAATTTTAGATGGGCAAAAGTTTTTTCATAATTTTGATGTATTTTTACCAAACATTATATTATTATATACCTACGATCTATTGAACACTCCAATTTTACTAAGAAGATACTTATAATTTATCGATAACTATAAAATTCTTAACTTTCGACTTTCATCTAAAACATATTTTTTAACTCTTTTCCGATTTCATAAGTCAAGATTAAGTAGTTATTGGTCAAAATTAATGTTATAATACGTACCTATGCCGTTATTTTTGCGCTTTTTTATAATATATATGTATCAATAAAAAATTATTATAATATAGTAAAATGTTAACACTCGCAAATCAGCTAGCTGTTAATATCGTATATTTCAAACTTTTAAATATACTTAAACATTATAATAATATATGTTATATTTTTGAATCTGAATTTCAATAATGTATATAAATAATTAATTGTGCATAATTTTTAATACAATAAGTTTCGTTTTTATCACGAGTCTTGCACAATAAAGTGTTCAAATAGAAATCGTTTGGTGTAGAATATCATCGTACTATAACACGATGTATTCACTTACATTAGTAAAGTCTTTCACGAATCGGTGAATCCATTGAATATGGTGACTTACATCCGTAAAAACAGCAAATAAATCATTCGTGCTTGGATTCATGACACTTACTATTCCGGTTAAAAATTGTAAAGTACCATGTTCATATGTTAAGCCTGAACCAATGAATATTTCATTAATGTTTTGTTCTGAAATGTAATCAGAAATAATATTTAATAAATGAGTAGTAAGCTAATGATCCTTTATAAACATGATTTAGAACCCTATGATTGACAACATTTTTTTTTTGTGCATCCCGATAATAATATAATAGAAAATTTAACCAATAAAATATAATAATAAATAAATATTCAGTAATTTTAAAATATATTTTTACTTTCATGCAAATCAAAATCAAATAGAAAAAGGATATTTTCATCCAAAACCACAAGATATATTTTACAAAAAAGCAAACAAATATTCAACATTCAAGTGTATGCATAGGTGTATTATGATTTATAAATTTATGAATTTATACAAAATATATTTGTTATAAGCAAGTATATTACCTGATGGAGAAACAGCGCAAAATTTATCTACAGTCACCAATGATTGAAATCCATTTGTATACATATCACGACAAGTATTTTTATCAATATATGATACGTTGGCTTTTAATAAAATAGAACTTGTTTCTATCATTTTAGTTTTTCCCCAGCCGACAACCTACAACATAAATTGTTTAAAACTCATATTCTTCATATTATTAAATAATTAAAATTAGAATGATTAATTTTTCAATTCATTTATTTATATATATGCACAAAATAATAAAAATATTATTATAACTTATAACAGTTAACAGTTATCTATTTGTTAAGTTTTTTCTTTTTTTTTAAAAAAAATTTAGATTTTGAACAAATTGACAAAAAAAAAATTAGTTTACAGTGTTGTTGTTTAACTAAAGATATTTATTTTTGTTAGCTTTAATTTTGTTATAGGTTAAAAAGATCCACGTAACCGATAATATTGGTTTATAATTGTAAGGGTGTATCAAATATAGTATTCACCTTTCCATTAGATCCGTTCGGAACAGTATATTGCTTAGACCAATCGATACAAATTGGCAAAACAAAGTCACTGATTGTAACTTGAGTGTATAACACGATAATAGCTAAATCATCGGCATAATACCAAGAAGAACCATTATAACTCTCTTTTAAATAAATTAAACCCACCTAAAATGTTTTTTGTAAAAATGTTTAGAACCGAGAAAATGTTTTTATTTTCAGCTAAAAAATTTTACTTACATCAATAATCTGAGTAAAATTATTTTCTTTTATTGAAATATCACTAGTATACTTTCCAACAGCAACTTTATAAGTATTATTTTTATTCGTCAATATTTTATCAGTATTCCCTTCTTCCCAATAACATTGAGCAGCTATAAACATTAAAATATATTGAAAATTATTTATTAAATGTATATCCCTGCAAAAATGTTTTACCAGTAACAACTAAATTCGGCGCAATTAATGTCCCTCCGCATATTAATTCAAAATACTCATCATGGTGACTGTTATTTTGTCGATATAATCCAACACTCCAAGGCACTGTTTCATATTCTATTTTCTCATCACTTGACTTATTGCTTGGAGTATATAGTTGACCACAAACTACAATCATACGTTTTAATATATATATATATATATATGTATATATTAACGTTAATAAATAATATAAAATATAATAATAATACTAAGTTATAGAGTAAAATATGATGTCGATAATTTAAAAAATATATGCAGCTATGAATACACAGATCTGAAATTTCAACTTATATACTGAAAACCACTTAACTTTCACACTATTAGCAATTTTTTATTTATTATATTACGGTCGTAAATACATATAATATATGTATATACATATATATTTAATTTGTTTGAAGTATATAAATAGACAAATTTTAGCATAATAATGTCAAAACTTTTAATATGTGTTAATTATTGATTTTATAATTGTAAGATGTATTTTATGGACTTAAATATATGATAACAATAATATTAATTAATTAATTAATAATTATAAATACCTAAACTTGTATGACCTCCTAAAAGTTTTAAACTCTAATACATTCTAGTAAAATAATTAGAACTGTGAAATTAATAATTATACATATCGATAAATTTCATCAAGAGTTAAAAATATTAATATATAATTTAAATATTTTTATGCCCACTATAATTTAGTAACTTTTTATTCATATAATATATTACATAATTTTTTTATAATTTCCCTATTTTAAAATATTTATTCTATATTTCATGATTTTTTTAGTGCAATAAATTCACAATGCTGATAATATAATTAATAATGAAAAAATACTGTTACATGGAATACACGTATATAGATCATCATCACTCCATGTTGCATCTTCCAGACAAATTAATCGAGTTGAGCGTTGTTCTTGTTCGTTTGATAATCTATGAGTGGCTTTACATGTTTGATTTAATATGGTTCCAGGTACTGCTTTTAAGCAACTAATATATTTATCCTCAAAGATACATTCAAAATCTAAACTATCTGATTCCATAGGCGGACACATTTCTAGTTACATCAATAAAATATGATATAATTAATGCACATTCAATAGTAACGATGATTAAATAGTATATATTATTACCAAACATCTTTCAGGATAATAACTTTTTAGTCAAAAATAATTTTCTGAATAATCTGTACTGATGTATAATATACAACACAATAAGACATAATATTATTACTTACTTAAACATAATTCATCAGTTACGAATGGTCTCCATTGTCCGGATTCCGAGCATACCATAAATCTATAAGGAACAACTTTGTGAAATCCAACTTCACAGTCCTCTTCAACTATGCGATATTGTTCAATTGCTGTACCATAAGATAGAGAAACATTTTGATTCCAATCTTTATAGAAGTATTTTGTGCCCTCAATTGTCGGTATCACGCAAGTTTTCCTAAAAATCAATAAAACTAGTATTCAATTTTTCAGACACCGATTTTTACACTATTCCATTAGGAATACATTTGTTTCGACATAAGAATAATAAGATTTTATACAAGTGACGCACTTGATGTAAGACTGCTTTATTGGTTTTGCTGTGTCGTTTTTTTTAGATATTGCACTCGCAAATGTTGATATTGAAGTTGAATTGGAACAATGTTCTTCATCCGAACCATCAGCACACTGTTCGAAGCCGTCACATTTATACTTGTTACTGATACAAGCGCCATATTTGCACTTGAATGTATATTGTGGACATCTTTAATATAAATTATATTTTATGTACTTAAGTTTTTTGAAACCTCAATCAACTTACAAGACCGTTTCACATAAAAGTAAAGTTTCATCAGATCCATCATTGCAATCTCGTATTCCATTACAAGTATTTGAGACATCAATGCACTGGCCAGATCCACACCCATATTCAGTTACGCTTTTTTTAATTAAAATAACCGCAAGTATAGATATTTAAAATTTTTTTGAATAAATTATTATTTTATAATATTTGATAAAACATGTTACTTGTAGTTTTATTAAATGCACTTATAGCAAATTCCTCTATAATATAGATATATTGTTAAGAATAAATAACATTGCCAATATTTATTATGCCATTGTAGCTGTACATTGAATATAAGTAGACATTTTTTAATAAAATTAATTCACTCCGATGAAATTGTGATAAAAAGTAATTAAAATGAGTTACTAATGTGGTTTCTGCTGTTCATAAATTACAAGCATCTAATGTATATTGATTGTGTTATAATCTCACTGATCTTAATGTGACACAATAAATTATAATTCACGTTTGACTCAAAAATAAAATTAATTAACTGTAAATTATCATTTTTTTTTTTTTTTTTTTGAACTAATCAATCTCCTGTAAGCTCATACTTGAGTTGGAGATAGAGAGTTATGTAACGATAAATTTTAATTACAAATTTTCAATAATATAGACATATCAAAAATATATTTTATAATGTACATAACATAATTCAAGAGTAAAATTTACTACAGATAATTAGTATAATAAATACGTTTCTAAACATCTAACAAATTAAACAATAAATAGTAAATACACATAATAAAAATATGATTTCAAAAAACAATTAAGTATAATAATTTACATAAAAGTTAAATTTACTTGTAGCACATAAAAAATGTTTTGTAAAAACTATATTTATATTAAATAGTTTAAATAGTAATTTATTATTATTTATTTTGAAAACATAGAGTACATATTTACCAACCCTGGACAATAAAATATGGTTTGTCGTTTTTCGAGTTTTCTATCACACAAAATGCCAATTTCTAAAATAATAAAATATTGTAATTTATGTATAATAAACAAGAGTAAGTTAATTAGAATTTATACATTTGTTTGAAATTATTATGCAGAGTGATTCACTAAATATGCTCATTCACTTTTTTCTCAATAATAAAGTAATTAGAAATTTCATATTAACTTAAAGACCATATTTTCAAATTTTTAAAAATGATTTTACTACTAAATAAGTATCCCATGAAGATTCGAGGATAATAGTTCCATAATAAAATGGATTCGAAAGATATGATAAAGGCTATGGTAACTTAAAAATGTTAATAGTTAATATATTAATCTATCGATATTTATAATTTATAAGAATGGTTAAAGTATAATAAATATTAGATCCAATATTACGTATAAATATTCTTTTATAATACTTAAAATTATTTTTAATAAATATTATTCTGAGTATAAACATTTTAATAACTGATAAATCACTTGTTTTTTCATACTTATAATAATGGCTCACTCAACACTCAATGGTCTCAATGCATAGGCGGTATTTGGGAGGGAAGCACAAGGGGGTGGTTGCCCCCGAAAAAATATTGAAAGGACAAATTTATAATTTTTCCCACCTCCTAAATTAAATATTATTCAAATAATTTTTAATTTTTATAAAATATTTATTTTGAAATAACTTTAATTGTATAATTATAAAAGAAAATTATTCCCCATATTAAGTCAAATCAATATTATCATAAATTAATATAAGCTAATTTAAATTCTATAACATTACGGATAATAATATAATATTATGATCACTTTTAAAACATAACATAATTGATATTAATTGATATACTTGTCGTCTATATAGTTATAAAATATTAGTACACATATATACTAAATTGCTTAATTATTTTTTTATTAAGATATGCACAAACTGTACCTATTATTTAGAACAATAAGTGTATGTGTTGTCAGAACAAAAATAAAAAATATAATAAATAGGAATAAGAAGCCACTCATTAATAGCACTTGACTAGGAAATTATTTAAACATAAAATATAAAAATAAAGGAGTGTGAAATTTTATTAGTTCTTACTTAAATATGAAGTAAAAATATAGGTGGAAGTTTTAGATAAGTTAAATATGAAAAGATTTTTAAATAGGTCAGTCAATTGTTTAATCCCCCCCCCCCCCCAATAATAAGAGCTAAGTGCCATCTATGACTAAATGCACAGCAGAACTTATATCTACTTACCTACCTTTTTTATTTTTAGAATATTTAAGATTAAAAATATTTAGGTACCATTTAATTAACCAACCTAAACTTTTTATAAATTTCAAAGTAAAAAAATAGCTTTCCTGCGTTTAAATTATCGTTTTAAAAATGATTTCATTTTAAGAATCTATAATTCCTGTTCTTGAAACTACTTATCTATTTCATATACATTTCTAAAAACAGACTACAGAGTAAAAATAGATTATTTAACAAAGCAAACTAAGTACCTATCTAATTATATTTAGATGTATCAGAAAAAAATCAGTCCTATAAAACATAAGTTTTATACATTTAATCCTTCCGAAGGTAACTTTTTCAGACCTAACAAAAATGTAGTAACATTTAATAGTAATTTATAATAGTGGTGTAATTATTAAGTTAGAATACTTTCACAAGGTGTATTTATAATATTAAAATTAAATTGAATTTATTTCGTAAATATTTATTAAAACTCAACGAAATATTAAAAAAAAAAGTCCGGAAAAAATGTAAAATTTACTCGTAATACTTTACTATAAATAAAAGCAAATGTATTATTTTTAGATTAAGTGTGTACTGTGTATAACACATTCTCTATTCCCAACATCTTTTCGGTTTAAAATAAATAATAATTATCGCGTAAAGATAGATTTAGTATATTACTTTCAAAGTTTCAAGTTTCAACTCTTGTTACTTTTGTCCCCCGACTTCCCATATTATACTGTTGCGAAAATATGTCAGTGACAAAACCAAAGAGTAGCTATATAAGTATTGTTATATCTAGAATAACTAGTAGCCACCCGTTATCTCGTGGAAAATTACAAATTATACGACAATATAAGTATACAAAAGATTATTCTTATTCAAATTTGTCAGATGATTTAATATTTAAATATTATTATTCAAAATGCTAATTATTTTGATGACACAATTAGAAATTTGGATATGTATTATTGTGATCTTAATACTTAATAAGTATACCTATTTAGTATTTTTATCATTTGTTCATGTATAATATTTAAAAATACTAAAATGATCGATTTATTACAATATTATAATAATCATTGGCTGTGACTAGGAGGGGGGGAGTTTAGCCCCCCAAAATTATTGAACATTTTCAAAGCATTAAATAGGTACCTATTTTGAAAAAAAAAGAAAAAAGGAAAATTAAACCCCCCCCCCAAAAAAAAAAAAAAAAATTCAATCAAATATTCGCATATGATAATATTATTTTTTTCGTATTTATTTATTTTGTATTTACTTGACTAATATAAATATAATTACTAAAAATATTAGGTTAGTTACACGAATCGCAATGTATTTAATTTACGTACCGAAAAAGAAACAAAAACACATTAACCAGGAGAACGAAGTTTTCATGGTCATCAAAGGTGAACGAACGGGAACTACACTCAATATTTAATAAAATAACAACACTAAATAGATAATTTTACATTTAAATAAACTATGTATAATTATTAATTGTTGATCGATTCATGTATAACTGTTTAAAATAATTCGACGTCCAACAGATTAAATCGTATACATTATTAAATGTTAATATGATTAAGCCACACCGGTGTAAACGCCTATGTTCGACTGAATACTCGTAGTACCTAAATAGCTGGCGGGTTTATAACAGTACAGTGGGGAATTACAATTAAAGACCTATCGTTCGTTTTTAAAGTGTACGAGTATAGAATAATAAAATATTGATGATGAAATAGAATAAAATAAATAATTCAAATGTAAAATATACATTATTTTTGTTTATCTGTTCTTGCAGACTAATAATATATAATATTATGTAGCCTAGTGGCTGGTGTATACATACCTATATCTTTATCTTATTCTTTATAGGTGCATCATTAAAACATGAGACGATTTCTTATTAACTTAACTCTAAAGTTCTACTGAATCGGCTTTTTTTTTAGCGCGAGTAATCGGTATGCAAATGAACCGTCTTATGAGAAAAGTTCGAAAAAATATCAATTTAAAAATATTTGTTTTTTTTAGATCCGTAGTGAAGTGCGTTGCCTGTCATGTGCACACACATAACGATAACTCCCACTACTTCTACTGCACCGTCGTTTTCGTCGGCATAGGTTACTAAATTAATTGAAATTTGAATTTGTTTTTTTAACATTTTTGGATGAAATATTTGCAGTATTCCCGACATCTATAAGTATTATGAAAACTATATAAGTCAAATCAGTTTCCATTTTATGTTATTTCTAAACACTAATAAACATAAATATAGTATTATTAAAAATTTTTAACTATTCATTTTTTTATAAATTTTCAGTTAATTGATATAGTTAATTTAATACTAGGTCCAAAAGCATGAATGCATAAAATAAATGTACCTACATCAAAATATACATTTGCAACGAGTGTGGTAGATCAAGATGTCGGCTTTTTCGACCAAAACTTCCCGTTACTACAAGCAAACTATTTTCTTTTATTGTGCGTGCATAATATATATGTACCACCCGCTCGGTGTAATACGGTGTACGCATTTTTCATGGTATAAATATCCTTTTCAATCGTTTCATAATTCATGAACTATGATCATAATATGTAAGTAAAACTTAAGTTCATAAATGAAACCCCTACCTGACCTCATGCAATATTTTTAACTAATTATTTATATCATATGGATAATTTTTCATGAAATCAAAATAGTATGTTTTTATACATAGTTACTTCTATCTCTACTACTATATAAAATCGTGAGGGATTTTCTACAACCGCACTAACCGAGAAAACTACTGAACCGATTTGGCTGAAATTTTTTACTGTTATACCCGATAGCTGAAAATTTTAGTACTACTTTTGTTAATAAAAAATAAGCATTAATTTCTTGAAAAATTAAAAAACAAAGCTAATTTTTGGAGCCTCTCTGCGAGGTCCGCAAGAACAGGCCTTTTTTTATTTTCCTGCATTTTGTAAAAGCACTATTTATTTTTTTGTTCTAAATACCTTCCCGAGCGTCACCACATTGCCCGATCTTAATTTTTTTTTTGTCGGAGAGTGGTAGGATTGTATTTTTATGTTTCCATTTTGTAACAAAATGATTAAATATTTTTCCAATTTTTTTATTACATAGTTATACCAAATACTCTTACGAGTGATCTATTATTCACAATTTAACGATTAACAAAACTTAAGGTCAAATATATCAGATACGTTGGAATAGATCATCATTCAAAGGTGCTTTTTACACGGACAATTATACGTGGCATTTTCTCGAACTTGGGACCCGAATTATCTAATAATTTTGATTTCAACAGGAGATAGAACAAAAAATGTTATATACTCAGAAGTTTAATACAATTCTTTATCAACAACAGATTAATTGGCATTTATTTTTCATCTGTATTCATTTTTAATAAAAATATATTTATCATTAATACCACTAGAAACATTTCAATACGTTTTCATTAACCATTTTTTATATTTATTTATCGATCACACATTAAAGATAAAATTTGAATAAAAATTCTACACATCATCGTCCGAAAACAAAATAAACAACCAATCACGGGCGGTGACGTGACGGGTCAGCTAGTATATTATAATATAATAACTAATAAGATTATTAACGTTTTTAGTGAAATAATATGAGGAAATTTAATTTAATATATTTATTATAATTTATAATTTATTATAATTTATAATTTATAATCATTAAAATTAGTAGTTTATGTTTGGCAAAGACTGTAAAACTTAATAGAAGCTTTAAACCTGTCTCAAATTAGGGTTTCATTTTCTTCGAATACCTAAATAAAATATATTATGTCCATTTAATAAATCCTAGTTTTATTGACACAACACAATCGTAGTGAAAATCGTAGAAATGGAAATTCACTTCATGAAAAACACTATTACATCAATTAGATAATATGACATATTATCAACTATACATATATACATAGAGAAATATACTTTATGTTAACCTAACATTTTTATGTAAACATGTTTCAACAAATTCTAGTATTTTCAAGTTGATAATTAATACGAGTATCATCATTCATCAGAAGTGGGGATACTGAAATCTTCCTATCACATTGTGTTGTTGATTTAGGTACGATTTTTCAGTACCTAATGAAAAAATCTATTATTATTAGTATTTTTCAAATTTCCATCTACAACAAATACATTTAACAGACTAACGTATAAAATGAAAACATTTTTCTAAGATTCATTTCTTTCAAGTTTTACTGAAATAAATTTGTGTGAAGGCTCATGTATCAAACAAACATTATGTACTTACCAGAGTAATAAATATTAAAAATCAGTAGTTAATCTCGCATATTTTTATAATAGTAAATAAAAAGTAAAAATATACTATTATGTAGTATGTACTTAGATAAATTAAAAGTGCCTATCAAAATGATAAGTTAACTGAATAAAGACAATTTTGTACCTATATGATAATAATAATAAAGATTAATAATTTTATACAATATTTATTTATTTATTTATCTATTGTTCTTTTATGATTCTTTATATAATATTATGCATATTAAATGTTTTATTGTTACCACAGTTCAACTGTAATTTAGAACTTCAACAATCGACATATTCTTCAATCGCAAATATAAGTACAGCATTATTTTCAAAAAAAAATAACCATATTCGTCTGAAAATAAATCTGTTTATAAAAGATATAGGCCATGGTTTAAAATCTTAAGCCATGATATAGGCATTGCTAAACTGTTTCATCAAACACAAAATATGTTTAATCAACTATATAGGTAAAAAGTAGAAGTTTGCAACCACTTAACATTTTTACCATTTAGGTATACTAGGCACAGTTTTTGGTTATCACTACAAAATATTACAACACTTATACTCATGTACACAAATATAAAAATATTTTTATTTTTTTCTATGAAAAAGTAAAAAAAATTATTAAAAATCTAATCAATATTAAGTTATTGACACAATAGGTCAACTCATAATTTAATAAACTTAATACAATTGTATATAATATATATCATTTCTTTTTTTGTGTTTGTTAAAAATTTAACAAAGGTAAAAAATTAGATTTACAAATGCTAAATACAATAATAAAAAAATGACGGTATGATATACTTATTGGTTATTTTTACTGCACTATCTAATAGTCTTAAAAAAACTATCACTTGCATAAGTATAATTAGTAAAAATTTCATAAATCCATCCAATATGGCGATTAACGTCTGTAAAAACTGCAATTGAATCATTTGTAGCTGGATCCTTTACACTCACAATTCCAGTTAAAAAATGTAAAGAATTATGCACAAAGGTTAATCCAGCACCACTATCGCCTTGATGAACTCCTTGTCCTAAAATGTAAGGATTCAATAATTAATACTAATATTAGTAGAAACAAATAAATATAACAATATTGATGATAATAATATATCCTAAAATAATAATAACTAAGCATTTTACTAGTTCTAATATTTATTAATTAAATTGATTTTAGTAAATTTTAAATATCATAATTTAATGAAAGATAATATTATCTTGAAAACATGAAATTATGGTTCATAAGTCATAATGTAAGATAAAAATTTAACAAAAAAAATAAGTTATCATATTATCATCTTTGTAGTTGATCTAAAAATATAATGTTATAAGTCATTATTAGAGGCGTTGTTGACTTTTACATTTTTTTTTTCTTTAATGCTATAAAATACTATCTTGACTATAAATGCATATTATTGTTTTTTAACATCATTGTTTTTTTGTCATTTTTTTAAATTATGAAAAATTATTTGTAAATATGGGACATTTTTCTCAAATATTAAATTTTAGAGAAAATTTGTATGTTAAAAAAATAATATATTGACATATGTATACATGTTAAAATGACTTATTATAAACTTTAATTACTTACCAGTTTTAGTACCAGCACAGAATTTATCAATTGTAACAAAATTTTGAAATCCGTTTATATACATATTTCGACATGTCTGATGGTCAATATATGGTAGGTTAGCTTCTAATAAAACTGAGCTTTCAACCATTTTTTCTGTTTTTCCCCAGCCAACAACCTAAAATAATAAAATTAACATAGGTTTTATAAAATTAATCAAGTTCATGTATGAAGAAAAAACTGAAAGTTAAATCATATTATAATTTAACCAACATAAATTTATAAATAATAAATTCTAAGATAAAATTATTAACATATCAAAACATAGAAATGATGGATACTTACATATTACTTTAATTTAAGAGTAAAAACTGGATTATGAATACTAAGACATACCAAATCATGAATATGTAATACCTTATAATCTCTTTTAGACAACAAATAAGTAATGTTATTAAGAAATTTCTTAAAAAAATATATATATACAGAGTGATTCATTGAGCATGCTTATTGTTCATTGGTCACCCTTTTTATCTGCTAAGAAGTCTTCTTTTTATTTGATTATGATTTTTGGATTTTTTTTAGATTAATTAAAATCTATATTTTTAAATAATTAGATATTTTGTACAGTAATGATCACAAAATCTTTGAGATAATTGATTATATTTACAATAATTTCTATCATTATCAAGTAAATTATACCTATTTATAATGTATCGCAATTTAAACATGTAGTGACATTGTTAAATAAATTTACTTGTCCAATAATTCCATTTGAAATGGAATATTGTTTAGACCAATCCATACAAACAGGTGAAACTACATTGCTCATTGGAATTTTGATTGGTAACACAAGAATGGCTATATCATCAGCATGATTCCCTAAAGAACCATAATAGCTCTCCTTCAAGTAAATCAATCCCACCTAAATTATTTTTAACAAAATATTAAATGAATTAGACCAAGTTCTTTTTTAACTGTGTGTTACTTACATCGACAATCTGAGTAAATGCATTGTCTTTGATTGTGATGTCACTTTTATACTTTCCAACAGAAATTTTATATCTACCATCGTTTAATAATATTCTTTCTATTAACCCTTCTTGCCAAAAACAATGAGCAGCTAAAAAAAATTGTTTATGTTTTTGAATTTGGTATATAATGCATACCAGCATATAATTTACCAGATACGACTAAATTTGGAGCAATCAGTGATCCTCCACATATCAAGTTAAAAGTATTTTTGTTTTTACGATATACTCCAACATTCCAAGGTGCTGATCCATAAACAGCTTCATTACCTCCTAAAATCAATGCTTGGTGTGGAGTATATGGCCGACCACAATCTAGAATGATATTTAAGCTCATAAGTTAAAGAAAGGAATGTCCTAAAATCCAATTGTTTAGATATTTTAAGAGTTAACAAGATTATAATGCTATGAAAAATGTATTGAGTTTTGTTGTATTATAAAAGCAATTAATGCAAAAATATGTTTATTTAACAATTGTACTCAAATTTAAAAATTGTATTTAAAGAATTTAACCCTACACTATCTATAAAATTGACTAGTTTTAAAAAATTATTGATTATTTAAAAAATCTATTTTATTTGAATCTCACTAAATGGCATTAACTGGCTTTAATAATTCATGTAAATAAAAAAAAAAACAAGTGGTAGGCAGTTATTAAACATGATCATTTTTACGATTAATAAATAATCACATAATAGGAAATTAGTTATTCTATCTTTTTTTTATTATTTATTTAACATTATCAATGTTTAGTCAAATGGTTTTAAATTATATTTTATTGTACTATTATAGCAAAATATGCAAAGGTCCTATACAAATTTATTATTTTCAATGAGTTATTAGTGTAACTAGACGTGTTTCTATCATCGATAATATTGACTCATATATTTTTTTTTTTTTTAATTTAATTGATATTAATTTTTTTGTAAAAGAAACAAAGTAATAATTTATTTTTTTAAAGAAGTAGGAATATTAATTAATTAATAAATTATACTTTATTCATATGTTGTGTCAAATTCTGCATAATTTTAAATACCTTCCCTAAAATGCAATTATTTTTCAATTCGTTTTTTTTAGAAATTATTATGGTATTTATGAGGTATAAGAAAGTAAAAAAATTTAAAAGAAATTGTAAGTAGAGTAGGGTTAAATTAATTAAATGTTAGAATAAGTACTTAAAAATATAATTACATGGAATACACGTATAAAGTCGATTACTCCAATTCCCATCTTTTTGACAACGTAATTTGATAGGTGTCTCTATTTGTCCATTTGGTACAGTGTGCGTGACTTTACATTTTGGTGTTAATATAGTGTCTGGTGCTGATGAGGTTGAACAATTTTCTTTTTTACCTTGGAAAACACATTCAACATCTAGACTGTCCGAAAACACAGGTGGACATCTTTCTTTAAACATAAATTGGTTATAAAATTAATACCATTTTTGAAACATAAATCAATCAATTATTAAATGAGTACTTACAAAAATAATATTAAATTATTATAAAATGATAATAAGTTAAGCGTCAAGAAACTTACATTGCATATTGTAATCTGTACAGATGTTAATACACAATAAATAATAATAAAAACTTACTCAAACATAATTTATCAAACGTCGGTTTCCATTTTCCATTTCCTGAACAAATTATAATTCTATTAGAAGTAGTTTTATAGTATCCCTCATTACAGTTCTCCTCAACTGTGGTATTGAGATTAACATAAGTTCCAGGAGATAAAATAGGATATTGATCTGATTCAACTTGGAACAAAGAATACACAGTGCCCTCAACGTTTGGTATCACACATCCCCTTAAAATAATTGTAATACAACAATAATTAAAATATAAATGATTAGAATTATTTTAAGCCATGTAGACATAGTACACTATAAAAAATCTGCCGAGTACACAATTTTTTACTATGATCTATTTTTACAAATGTTCAACCTGGGATTATTTAATAATATAATAATAATATGTTCTCAATATATATTACTTTTATTGTATTTTATTCTTGTTTTAAAAAATTCTAATATGCTATCGTTGGGGAAAAACCTATGTAAACCTGTAATCTAGGTACTTTAGTTTACATTGCTCTTAAGTCTAAACATTTATAATTATTACTAAAACCATGTCAAAGCATTTCAAATGTTTTTACGATGATACTTGTTTAGTCTATTATTAAGTAATTATTATCTTTTAAGAAAAAATGTTTAACATTTCAAATAAATAAACAGAACAATGCCTACCCCTTATTAGTAGTCTGTGTTGGTGGTTTAATAGTTTGATAAAATGATTCCAAGGTAGTAGTTTGACTAATAGGTTTCCATGTGATTTGTGTAATTGGAGTAGCTGAAGTTGTAGTTTTGGAATTTTCAGTGTCATTACAGCCCAATTCGTCAGAACCATCAGCACAGTTCCGTGAACCGTCGCATTTTCTCTGTTTACTTATACAAGCACCATAGTTGCATTTGAATGTATTCTTTGGACACCTTTAACGTTAAATAATAATTTATGATATTATTTTATTTACTTATAGATATATGCATGTTGTAATATTTTCTAATTCCATTCAATACATACACAACTGAGTTACACAATTCCAATGTTTCATCAGATTTGTCATTGCAATCTGAAACTCCATCACATATGGATGTTATATCTATGCATTGACCAGATTTACAGCTGTATTCTTCTTTATATCTAAATTAATATATAACATGCTAAATAAGTATAATATTCAAGTACATTTTAATTTTTAATGTATCTTTAAAAATAAATTATTTAATTTTAATCACATGATTTCAATATATTTTATTTTTTTAAACTATATCAATAAATTAGGTTTAATTAGGAAGAATAAATGTATTTGCAGTTTAACTCTGTGTAGATCAATAAATACATTAATTTTACAATGATATATTGTTTTGTTTGTAAATTTTTATTTTACACGAATAATTATGAAAAAAAAAATCGGGTTTTAATTTTATGGATGGTTTTTGGTAGTAAATTTGATCTCATTGATTCCTTTAAGATGCCAAAATTGAAAATTTCTTGTTTCTTATTCAAAATCATTGAAAAAACTGAAATTTTTACGCAAGATCAATTTTTTTGTATTTTGTAACTTAAAAATAAATAATTTTGAATTTAAATTTTTGTTTTGACAATGAAAACAAAATTATAAAAGTACAAATCTCCAATCACTTCACAACCATAAGACATCCCACGTTACCGTTATTGATTTAACATACAAGTTCAAATGCATTACAAATTATTGTATGCAGCACAATTAGTTATCAATAAACTTTATATTATGTGAAAATTAAAATTGATAATTCTACATCTCTTACTTGGTAAATATTAATACTATAAAATTTATATAATTTAACTAATTTTGGTTTATATTCAAATTTACACTGTTCGCATTAGAAATAAACAATAATTAATATTGTAAAATTACAACAAAATTTAAGTAAAATTCCCAATGATTTATACCTTTTAAAATGTTTGAATTATAAGTTAGAATTTCTGTTGGTTGTTAATAAAATATTATTGTCCTATGTTTAATAAATATATTCTAATTATACAATATAGAATTTTAAGTTGAAAAACTATTACACTTACATGCATTTAGACTGACTGGTTACTTGGGCTTGTTGCGTTTGTGGAGAATTTGAAGAAATTACTAAGGGTAGTTTTTTACATTCAGGTAAGTTTTCATCTGAACCATCGATACAATCATTTTTACCATTACATTTTGCACTTTTACTTATACAAGCCCCATAATTACAACGAAATGCAGAGCTCGGACATCTATAATAACATAACATAAATTATGAAAATAAAATAAGAACAAATATATTTATTAATGCTTTTAAACTTCAAACATATTAACATGTATATTATATTTCCCCTACGTTTTAAACAATGGAGCACACAAACTTTGAGTCTCATCTGACTGATCTGAACAATCTGCAAGTCCATCACAAATTGATAATGAATCAATACACTGTCCATTTGTACATTTGAACATCTCTCTATAAGTATAACACAATATAAATTATACTCAGAATTAAAGGAAATAAATAATTATTCAAAACAAAATCTATTTTTAAAAACCTATTTAAAAAAATTGGAATTTAAAAATGTCAATATTCTTTTAATAGTAAAGTCACAAGACATGTCATTGATACACTTAATACACGTTTATAAATTTAAAATGCTTTAGTAAAATTATTGGTTTACAAAATCTTAAGAATTTAGTCATTATCTTATGATTGATTATTGTAGAAAAGTTTGGTCCCTAAAGTCCCTCGTTTTAAGAATGATGGGATGGGTGTAATCAATTTAGCAACTTGTATTTAAGAAATATTTAAACAATTATGATATTATAAATAAAATTTAAACTACTGAACACAAACTTGCTATTATAAGTTTGTAAAACGGAGATACATACACGGGTGTGAAGTATTCTTAACTTCTAAGATGCAACCACTTTACATAAAAAAATACTTTCAATAGTATTCACATACTAAAAGGAATCTAATTTCATTATTATGTCGACTTCTCAATAGCTCCCAACAAATATTTTTAATATTATTTGATTAAACTTTTCAAAACCATAGAAAATATTTATGAACAGTATTAACATAAATACATAATAGCATTGATAAGTTAAATAGTGATTTCTAAGTATATTTATAATAATAGTATAATATTTTAAAAATTATATATTTAAAGGTACGCTACCTAAATAATTTAACAAAACTATGTAATGTATATGAAATGCACTGCTCTAAATATGGCACACATGTAGTCAGGCTCATATCTGAGGGGGGGGGAAGAGAATGGGGTCCCCCACCGAAATTATTGTGTAGGTACTATTTGTAAAATATTTATCAGTTTATTAAAAAGTAATAAAAGATTTTATGTATCAATTGTGTATGAAAATTGTTCTATAATTTATTTTGACCCCCCTCCCAAATAAAATACTAGTTATGTACTTGCGAGTAGTCATGTGCATGCCAAGGTTTTTTTTAACTAATATAGTAAAGTTTTGTGAGAATTAAAATGTAAGTATCTTGGAGTTGTACAAACACCAATTATTAGTTTATAAAAGAGAATATTAAATGTATTTAAACGTTTTTAAAAGTTTGGTAACTTAATCCACTTATTTTCAACAGTTGAAAAATACAAAAAAACCTACCTTCAAAGAATTTACAGAAAAATTAATTTAATCTAACAAATTTACCAGATAATATTCTTCTCCATTTTTCTATGAATATTTATTGATTTTAGTAGGTATCATCTATCACATATTTAACAGTACTCATTTGCGCAAATTTTCACAATAAATTAAGGATGGGTAGCGTCCTTTTATTAACTTTTTTACGTCAAATTGTATTTATAACAGATTTAAAAAATGGTTGTAAGATATTATATCAAAATTCAAATTTTTTATAACTAATAAAAATGTTAAAATATTCAAACACATAATAATTTAATAAATTTTTCTGAAGTGTGTAAAATGAATGATGTAGAACAGAAAGAGAATAATGATTATTAGTACCTAATACCTAAATATCTAGTTAAAACATAATATAGTTACCAACACTGAACATGATTTAGTTTGTCGTTTTTCAATTAATGGATTACATAATATGCCCGTTCCTAAAACAAATAATTTGTATTATAATTATGCATATGTTTAGAATATTCCATTACAGCTCTTTGGGTCAGATGGAGTCAGTAAATAGGACATTTTAATTGTAAATATGTAAGTTCAAAAACAATGGATTTTTCTTCAAATAACATTAGAATATTTTATAAAATCAATATTATTACTCGATTTTACCGAAAAAAAAAAATTATAAATTGAAAATACAATACTGCTCAAGTGCTGAAGAATAGTAAATAAATTTAATCAATATTATAATGGTTTGTTATATAAACATACAAATAAAAAATAATATGTATTATGAATTCGAATCGGAAACTGAGTTAACGATAAATAGGCGAAAACGTATTTCTCTTTGACATTTAGAACATTAACCGGTCGTTAGCACTGTTTAATTGTTTACATGCGTTTGCGTCTATAATAGTTATTTATATCATATCCATTGATGTTTAGGAAGTTGGTATTATAAATATAGATTATTGTCTTATCGTTTTGTCGTTATGTCATACTTCATATACGCCAACATAATATAAACCTAATCACGAAGTACGTACCTGTTGTGCCCAAAACGAAACATAAACATAATGTCAACCAAGACTTCGTCGCCTCCATGGTTTTATACGTCGACGAGACGAAATTACTGCTGCGAATCATAATGCATTAATATATTACTTATTACGTACAATATAATTACCTACACAATACACGTGCAAATGCGACGACGAAAATATGCAATACAATCATATTAACATTATATAAATTGTATAGATAACAAAACAATCACAAATCTAAGTAAAAATAATATTTTATCAAATATACCTGCTTAATTATTTTTTAGTGCGGCGAATAACAAATGGCAGACACCGGAAGACGTGAAGAAAACCCGCACGGTACGGTAGAAAATAAACTTATCGCTAGGGATGCGAAAGTTTCTCGCGATATGTATAATAATTAACAACCTATCGGCTATCAGTTAGAATTGGAATATGTTTATCGCGAAACGTCCAATTACAAATCGATTCAAAATTTCAAATAGTAAAAAGACAACAGCAACAAAAACGACAATAATAATAATAATATGTAATCATAACGTACTACTGCACGAGCTGCGTAAAACGTTGAGACGTCTTGCGTCTAGCGTGCTAAGAATTATCGTATATTACTGCAGTTCGCAGTGTTCATCATGTATGTGTGTGTACGCAATATGTTTACGCGATTGTAGCCAACCGGACTCCGAAGGACAAACTGTTCTATTAAGTGCTTGTATACCATAGGAAGCTCCCACTACTCGCGTATTATTAATTACAATATTATTTTTATTATTTTGTATGATATTAACTAAACGTATACTGTTCAAAAAAAAAAAATATAATAATACGCATGTACCCTATCTGAGCGCTTCAGCAGTTGTTTTGAAAACGTTGCGTCGTAGGTTGTACACTTAAACTTTAAACGTTTTCAAACCTACACGTATAGTTGTATGGGTTCCCTACAATTTTACGTATACTCCCGTTATTGGGTTTTATTTGTGTTATGCGCAAGTACAAAACTGGTTATGTTGGTTTATTTCGAGGTGTTCGTACGTGCTTCCTAATCTATATATATATATATATATATACATATATATTATATATGTGAATGTGTGTTGTGTGAAAATGGTTATCTTTGCAAAGCGTGTTCTTTGAAATTACTCGACCAAATATCTTGATTTTTGTTTTTTAAATGAAAGACTACATCCCGGAACATAAAATATTTATATCCACAAGTTTTACGCTAAATGTCAGCATTAGACAACAAAATTTATCACACAGATAAGTTTTATACGAAGATAACAAGGAATATAAGAGGATAGATCCCTCCGGAACCTTTTTTTTTTGTGTGTAATGTGTTGACTTATACTCGATATAAGATTATAAAATTACCCATATTAATCCACTTCATGTTTATTCAATAAATTATATATCCCCCCCTCCCCAGAACAAAATCATAACTAATTCACTAATAATGTATATAGTATATTATTCTTCATTATACCAATAGCGATAGCATATTTTCGCAAACGTGTTCGTTAATTCGACGATACTTTAAAGATAACTATTTTTTTTCTCAACTATCATGAAATTAAATGATAGCAATTATTAAAATTATAATGGAACTACTACCTATCGATCATAATATTAGGTATGAGAAAATGAAATTTTTTATGACGATCTATGATGCGCATTACAAATATTATTATTTTTAATTAAAAAAAAAAAATAATCTACCAAATTATCGTCCTTATATGCGTCCGGGATGAACGTAATCTCATGGAAGTTTTATATTTAACAGATTTGTTATTGAAATCATTGATAAACACTTTTTTTAACACGTCATATATTGTTTGAATTTTGATGTTTCAAATATATTTGTGGCAATAGTGATTTATTTTTATTGATTGTAATCCTTCATAGCATTGATTGCAGAAAAATATATTTTTCTTTTTTAAAACAACGTCGGCAAAGTGCTAAAGTCTATCAGTGACAGTTACAATTATATTTTGTGAGAATGTTAATAAAACAATGAAAATAGTAAGAAAAAATAGTTAAAGAAACTTCCTATCGGAACTAACATCCATAACAACTAACCGACACCGAAAGAATAGTCTACTCTGCGCAGACTTAAAGGTCATTTTATCAAAAATCGTGATATCTTTAATCAAATGTAAGTCATTAGTATTTTTCCATTCTGACAATTTTTCTAAATATATTTTTTTTTTTTTTTTTATTACTATACTGTTCAAAAGCCATTTGCTTGTGGCTATTTAGTTTCCTAAAATCATTTAGAGAAGCCTTATACAATTATAATAGTAAAAATGTTGATTTTTATATGCGTTAATATTGTAAATATATTTTACCAAATCGTCATTGATGGTTTTAGAAGCGTAATCTAATGTACAAATGACACCAGTATTGATTTCTTGTAGGTAAATACAATAAAATAATTTTTATCATAAACTTAAAACACTTCAAAATATTACAAGAAAAACTATCACTTGCTACTTAATAAACAATAGTTAATAAATTCAAACTTATTTTAAACTCAGAAATAAATTATTTTAGCATTTATATTACTGTTCAAACAAAAATCTCTACCAACTAGCTAAATATATAAAATATAATAGGTTAAAATGTTTAGATAAACAATTAAATAATTTACCTTTTTACTATTTGAAAAATTATTATTAATTGTCACTTCATCATCAGTTGGTTTATGGTTTTTAGTCGCTGGCACAGAAGAAAAATAATTTATGATTTTTTGAAAAGTAGCAGTACCTGCAGTATGTTTATTATCGGCCATATCGACCATGTAATATTTCGTAGACAAATCGGTTAATACTGTGATAAACAGCGACTTGAAACAAAGTGAGTAATAGATAATAAATTTAGGTACTATAAATATACCACCGCCGAAATCAAAAACCAAGAAAGAGGGATATCCATTAGATCCTGGCAAGCCAGGTGGGACAGGTCCAAGGACGGAAGATGGACCCATCGACTTCTGCCGGACGTCGGTCGCTGGATGGCAAAGCCGCCTCTCAACCTCACATTCCACATGACTCAGGCGCTGTTTGGACACGGATGCTTCCAGGCATACCTGCTGAGGATGCATCGCGTCGCAGACGGGTCATGCGTATACTGCGGCCATCTCGTCGACGACGACGCCGCCCACACTATATTCACTTGTCCGCAGTGGGACAACGAACGGGAAGTCATGCGGCCTTACATCAACGGACGCCTACCAACGCCGGAGAATGTCATCGATCTCCTCTGTGGCCCTGTCGGCATGGAGAACACCGGCGTCAACATACAGACTGCATTCCACAGGGCCCGCAGTAGATTCTGTAATATGGTTGAACGTATTCTCTCCAACAAGGAGAAGGATGAAAGGGATAGACAGGCGTAGACTCCAAGTCTATTCATTAACCGATGAAAACGTCGGAGGTGCCACCGACACCTGTTCTATCCCTTTTGTATGGCACCACGGGCGGGGACGACGATCACGGCAAGGCCAGAACAAGACGACTCGAGCGCGGCGGGCTCCGGCCGGCTCAAGAACTGGAAAATCAGAACGGGACAGCCAGGGCGGCGGACTACGGTTAAGTGACGAAGTATTAACGCCTCAACCTATCATTTTATTACGTCTTAAACTATTCTAATTCTATGTACTTTATGGGATTTGATTGTAAATTTATAACGCATGTACGTCCCAAAGGGACTTTTGTTATTATTATTATTAATTGTATTATTCATTTCTGTTAATAAACGATGGCGGCGTCGCGGAGGCAATGCGAAAGCAGTTCCCGCGGCGCCGTTGGTTCAAAACTGGAAAAAAAAAGGTACTATAAATATAGCAATACTAATAGTTAACTACATACTAGTTTTGTTTGATAACTTGGCTGGACAATAACATAACAATTAAATAATATTATTGCCGTTATTTGGTTTGAAATTATCCCTATACATCATTAATAATCGACAATCATATAAGTACACATTTATCTTAGACTTCTTGACTACAGATCTATTTTTAACTAATATAATATCTGTACATCAATCGTCTAAAGTACTGGTAAACACTACACCGATATCGACCGAAAAATGTTGGCTGTATACATCTGAATATATTAATTAAATTTACTCTATTCATAAAGGTCACATCTTACATTATATCAGCATAATTCAGCCGTGTGCGCCAAAAACAATATTATTTATTTTGTTTTTATCGACTGTTTAAAGCCGAAAATATTTTGTGCATAATCTCCGGACGCGACGGTACGAAATAATACCCTCATATACTCAAAAAAATTGATTTGCTGTTATAAAAGTTGTGGGAAAGGTGTGCGAAATTCACCATATTTTTCTTTTTCTTCAAATATTCTGTTTATCCACCATTGTCTTTCTTTTATTTATCTTTTTTATCTTATTTACAAAGACGTAAATTTGATTCTAATTATTTCACGACTTTTCAAAGTCGTACAAGATCGTTATAAATTCATACAATATATGTACCTAAAGCGGCTTATGAATATTATTATAAAAAAAATTCTTGGTAGAAAAGTATTGTTAAATCAACAAGAACTAAACATAAAAACGAAATTCATTTATTTATTAAAATTCTGATAAACTAACCGACGAGTTTACAGTGGTCGACAAGAATGAGCAGTAAGTAGGAAAGAATGAAGGGCATAAATCATAGGAACTTCTTATACAATTTAATTTAAATATTAAAAATTGCGGTTTAAAGATGAAAACAGAGATGAGATCGTTAGCGTGATGGTCGCATGTCAGGCTACTTTAACACGTCTTACTTTAGGATTTATATTAATGATGTTATATTGGTAATTTTTCAATATATTTAGATTTAAAAGTAGGCATTCATAATTAACAGGTTGGGTATAAACTAAACATAAAATAGTAATAATAATAAAAAAAATTAAAAAATTAAATAAAAACCCAACAAATGTATTTATATTGATGGAATAATGTTTTAATATATACATAAACTATGTACTAATATCTAATTACAATAATAAGTAATAATAGTGGAACAAAATATTATATAAACCTGATCTCAAAAATGTCTTATATATTATATATATATATATATATATTATGTGTGTACAAATATAATAACTAATCCATAACAAAATAACAATAAATAATAAGCTCATGGTGATAAATAATAATACTATATGTATACTGGAATACTTGCTATGTGAAAACTCAAATTTAATAAAATTTACATAACTGTAGAGATAATATGTATGTCAATATTTTAAATATTATTGAAAAAAAAAAAAGTAATGAGAAGAAAAAATAATTAAGGCTTGATATTAGCACATACAGTTTAATGTATACTTAAATTATTATTATGATATTAAATAACAAGACACAAACCTCTATATTATAAGATGGTATATTACCTATTTAAATGTCTTTAAAAAAAGGCACCATCCAATTGCGACATGTCATTTAAGCTTGATGAAAAATCCATTTCTAAGGAATAATTACCAAACGTAGTCATACTAAACAAATAAAACATAATTTTTGTAATCTTATTAAGTAGGTAAATGAAAGATTTAATTTGAGTAATGTAAAAATTAGTATTATTTTAAGTTTTATTAATTTGTTTTGTAGAGCTCAAATTATATTAAAATATAAATTTCAATTTTAATAGCAAAAAAAAATTGTGTCTCGATTTACTCTTTGATAAACCTTATATGACTCATGCGTTAGAGCGATGCCAGTAAGCAGCTTCTCTAATCAAGTCTCCATTTCTTTGTAAATGCTATATATGTACATCACTTATACTTTTAAGATTCAAATAAAATATTATATTATATATTTTATTAGAATAGCAAGTTGAAATTTAACATACAATAATTAAAGAATATTTCTTACTTATTTTCTGGTTCACTATACACTGATGTTTCGTTGGTACTATAATTTCCTAGACTGTTTTCATGAAACAGGTGATTTTGAAGTGTGTTAGGATAGCTATTTGTTCCCTGTCCATTGGTACTAGGTCCACTCCACCCAGGAACATGTGTAACTAATAGTGGCTTAACATAACCATTGTTTGTAACAGGTACACTATTATCTGTGAAATAAAAGTACATTCTTCAATAATTTAAAATGTTAGTAATTAAGAGGTAATGTTGGAAAATGCATATTTATTTATTTATTTTATTACATTATAAACACATAATAGTAGGTAAAATAAGCTTTTTAAATACTGATATCAGGGAGTTCTAATCATGTGGTGAAAACAGTGGTTATTACTGTATGAAGTAATGTAACCAAGACTAGTCACGGGTAAAATAAGGAATTCTAATTTCCTGAGACTTTTTCAAGAAAACTTAGAGCATTCAAAAACTTACCTAAAAAGGAGTTACTGTAAGAACAGTTTAGATGTGGAAGATTTCATGAATAGATGAATAATCATGGTGGGTGACTCAGGAGAAGGAATTAAAAATAAAAGAAATATAAGCTAAATATCTATTATGAAAAAAGTTTGAGACAGAGTTGATCCTTTGCAAAGAAAGAGTGCCATATAATCACATCATAATTTAGGAGAGATCCGACAACTGAAAAGGAGAAAATGAACAGGTTGAAACATTAAGTATTGCATTTAATGAATTTTAGGATAATCAACTTTTTATTTACAATTAAGTTGATGTTTAACAATGGAAACATATCTAAGTTGTAAATTATTTAGAAAATAAGAGTGAACTATGCTTATGATGAACAAGATCTGGAGATAAATTATTTAATAATTATATAAGTTGAGAATTAAACCAATAACTGGAAAAGTCTAGTTTATCTAATAAATCAACAATTCAAATATATAAAAAAGATTGAAATAACAAGATTTTTACCTTTTTTAAAATAGATTGAAGTAGAATTGATCATAAGGTTATTCAGAGTTGAAAATTTGATAAAATTATTCCTATTTAGAATTCATTGGATTTCAATTCTTTAAAAAGATTTGAGTTTATCAACCTATTTGCTTAGTTACTGTAGGAATCAATTTATGATATTTTAAATAAATATTGAAATCTGGATTTGAGTATTTACTTCGGTTTTTTTTTTTTATGAAACAATTATTTAAAAATTGACCTTCAACTTAAAATATATACCAAGGAGGTGAAATATTTTTATAAAATTTAAATCTGCCTTTTTTTTTAAGTAAATTTAATTTTATCAGTTTTTTTTAGGTATAAATTAGAATTTTATAGAAATAAAATATTTATTTGAATGAATCTAATTATACAAGCATGTGAATGGTGAAAACATAGTTGATTAAAGAAGACTCGCACTTACCATAATTTATAATATGCACAATAGCAGTATGCAATTGCAACCATAAAACAACTATATATTTAAAATTATTTAGAAAATATTAGCTGAACCCTTAATTATGTTAAGTTTTATACAATTTAGGTAATGAAACAAGTTTAAATATAAAAAAAATTAATATTTTTTGTCAGTATATAAAAGTAAAAATTATTCTACAAAATAGATAATGAATGAATACTTGATGACTGTGTGTAGTATTTTCCAAATGCTAAGTCTTTATCAATATTTGGATATAGCTTGGTGATGTATGGCAAGTCTAATAGTCTATCTGCCAAATTACGAATTGATAAATCTTTAGCTGAGAAAGGTTGTAAGCTAAAAACGTCATTGGCTGGAAAAAATATAGTTAATAGAATTTAAGACTTTCATTTTTAACTCAAATATACAACATACATGCAGTCCAAGCAACAGTTAGGCCGCCTAATTCTGAATCTGAAAATCTTAATAAGAATGTACCAGTTGCATATCTTGTTAACATCTCTTCAGCATCAGATTTTTTTATAAAACCCATTATAGCACTACAATTAATTTTTTTTTTTTAATTTAAAATATTTAAAGTGGTAGTAGGTATAATATAATAATAATTTATATATAAATTTTAATTTTAATTCAAACATTTTTTTTTTTAGTTTTTTTTATTACCCGTCTGTCCAAGGACCTTTAAGATGTTCTTTAGTTAATTTCATCACTGAATAGAACCAGTCCCAAAACGTGAAACTTCTTTGTGGCAATGGTTCTTTACAGAATTGTGACCATGATATAATCATATGATTAAAATCCACATTTTGCTTTCTAAAAATATATATATATTAAATGATTAAATTTTTTATTTTATTTTAACTAGTAATTTGATAAACCTTAAAGCCTTTTCAGCCAAAAACGTTAAGCTATCTTCTGAAAGACCACGACCTGTAGCTGCAGAAAATTTCATGTTTATAGTTTCTGCCACATTTCTCCATGGTACTTTGTCCGGAACATTAAATGGGATTCGGCCAAGTTTAGCAAATGCGTTATCCCATATTACAGTAGCCCAGGCATGAGGATCTTGATTTCCGTGCACAATTACTACTACTGGTAATGACAAATTCCATACCTGATAATTAAAAATAAAATGTTGATATACATCATCATATAACTTGTTTAAAATTTAAAGTAAAATACCATAGAAGTTGTCATTCTACTGTATAACATAATTTGAGTGAACTTTATATTTAAATAGATTACTGTAAAAAGTAAATTAAAAATGAACTTAATAATAAATCATTATTAAAAAAAACGATTCTGAGTGAAAGTGGTATGTCAGTTAGCTTCTTATTTCAAAAGAAATTTTATAATTAATTTTTCTTTTTATTAAATAAGGTAGGTTTAATTTGTTATACATCTATACGGCTCTGCTAAGCAGAGCCATAAAAACTAATAGATTAGTTTTGAGACACATGTGTTTTAATTACTAACAGCATTTTTAAAGAACTAATACTAATTTTAGCATATATTAATGTACTTTCAAGGGTATTTTTTCAATAAAAAATATATGAAATTGGTATATTACCTACCAATCAGAAGTTTAATCTAACAATTTTTTTTTTTTTGAGTTACGATAATTTTGCTTAGCAGGACATATAATAGATTTTATTATTATTTATTTATAAGTTAATATTGACATACCATGGTAGAACTAATAGAATGATACAAATAGATTAATAGTTAACAAATTATAAAAATGGTGTTAAACTAGTCGAAATAATTTGAAAATTTAATTGTAGGTGTATACAAAATAATAATAAATAAATGGCCAAAAGTTAAAAGTCCCCATGCTATTTTTTTTTTTTTTTAACTATAAAAATTAATTTTATAACATTTATTGAAATTGTTATTTTTTGTTTGAATATTTAATTTTATACAAATTTCAACTTTAAATGATTATATATATATATATTTAAACAAAAAACATGCTGATACATATACCATGTTTTTTAATTGCTAGAAGAATAACTAATAAGGAATCATATAATACATTTATAAGTTCTTTAATTTGTAAGGAGTAAAATTTTTTGAATATCTATAAATAGAACAAAAAGAACTATCACCATACTATATATTTTATTTAAGAAAAAATTATTATTTTTAAAAATATTGAGAAGTTTCTATTTTGGAGAAAAAGGAGCATAATAACCATTAATACTAAAAATTAATCTCAAAGTTGAAGATAGAAACATGTCCACTGCTCCAAGTGGTGATTATTAGAGCAGAATTTGAAAGTTCTTTAAATTAAAAAAAAAAAAAAAAACAGTATATATTTATATATACTATATTCATGATCTATGTAAATTGTGGACTTATTAAATTTAAATCTTGTTATGCACATAGAAAATGTTAATATAAATATTATAAAACCACTTCATTGCACAAATGAAGCAAGGGTAGTAATCAAATTAAAAACAATAAACTATTTGATTATGCCGTGTTTGTAACTTAGGATTTCATGTAAAATTTTTGTAATTTTAATGTTTTAAAAAACTTAAATCAAATAGTCATTACAAAATGTATTGTTTAACTAATAAAATTTTCTTTTGAAATCTATACAATCATTTGCTTTAAAAATTTACTTAATTGATTATTTTGTTATAATTTGTTGTATTTATAATATAACTGACATATTATAAAATTATTTAATTAAAAAAACAAAATCAAACACTAAAACATTAAATTAAATCTTACCTCAACTTGAAGTTCATTTCCAATACAAAATGTAGATGAAAATAAAATTGAAAATTTTTCATCCATAACAGAATCTGTTCCTTTTTTTTCTGTACGTTTAATTTTTTTTAGTTGCATACTTCTATTATATTTGAATACAAAAATATTAATTTATTAGACTTTAAATGAAATAAAACTAAGTTCAAAATTACCGAAAATTAGTAGAAAAATGCCTACGAACTGGGTGATATTCCATTTTTCCAATGCAATTTAATAACTCACCACACGACTCTCCACATGGTTTATTTCTTCTGATTATTTGATTAACTTGAGCTTCATTGACTATAGATACTTTAACCTAGTACAGTTTGTGTTATAAAAATAATATATATATTACAGGTAAAGTATGTAACATGGCTTAGTGTATATTATCCATACTAGTTGGATAAAACATACACGTCTGAAATAAAATATGTTCAATAGACATTTTTTTACGTGTATTTTAATAAATTAATTGCAGAAAAGTCAGAATTCAATTTATTTGTCTTAAAAAAAAAATATTTTGAAATAATATTCAAAATTAAACAACAAAAAAAAAAGCACTGATGAGCAGCATTATGAGCTAGGTAATTAAGAAGGAAATATATAACATTAAACTAGGTCTCAGTTTAATGTTTGTCCCAAGCCATTCATTAAAATAGATTTGGGGTCAAATATAAAAAAATTGTGATGAGAAATAATTAAAAATATGTTATTGTTAGGTGGTCAGGGTTTTAACACTATACGTGTAAATCAAATTGCAAAACTAAAAAATGTAAATGCAAACCACCTAGCATTTTATGCAATTCAAAATCACATCATGGTTTACCTTGTTTAAATAACAAAAAATATGTTGTTTAATAAATAAAATTAATAATATCTAATAAAATAATTTTATTGAAATAAATATATATCATGAATTTATTAATAATATTTTACATTAACTGTAACATGATGGCTAAAGTTACTTTAACCGGGTAATGTATACATAATCCATTGTCTAATAGCTTTTATTCACAGCTAAAGCCTAAATTTAGATAACATGCATATTATCCAATTTCAGACTTAGGTCGTAACATGGACAATATGTAGGCCCTAATATAAATAAACTCAAATACAGTACTTTTTATTGAAACTTTATAATAAAAGATACATTTTAATATTTTTAAAAAACTGAAGGAGTAAAAAAACTACAGTTAAAAGTTGATTAAAACAGAAAAATCAGAGTTATATGGATAAGCCAATAAGAATTTGAGTTAACAAGCTTGAAATAACTTTTTATTAGCTAATAAGTTAAAACATTTCTAATTTAAAATTTAAAATTTAAAATAAAAGTTCTTGTAAAAGTAAATCATAGACTGTCACCAGAAAAACAGAAAATTTTTCAATTGGCTGCTACTCAAATTACCTAAATATACCTATATAAATATCATAAAAAAAAATCTATGTAAACCTAGACATAATTTAATGAGAAAATAATCTGATATAGTATTCATAAAGTATTGTAGGTATTTAAATAATAAAGTTTAAAAATAAAATGTATATTTAGAATATCAAAAATTATAATGAATGGATTGTTGTTGTAACTCATACTCTCTAACCCTCAGTTTTCAACATTTATATAATATAATTATCAAAATTTGATTTAAATAAATCATTAAGTAATTTATTATAAGTCAAAATTTCTAATAAAAAAAAAAAAACCCATTTATATATACATAAAAACTGAAATGGTTATTTATAAAAAGGTTGGTCATAGGATGAGAATCACTTATTTAATAGTTATGAAATATTTTAATTCATATAGAATATACCAAGGAATAGATTTTAAGCAGTTTCATAGATAAAATTCCTGTTCCAAGAAAATTGGGCAATGAAATAAAAATACAGCAATAGAACCTTCTGTGCTCTATTTGGGTTTTACAAATTTTTGTTAATAGTTTTCTATGTAATCATTTGCTTGGCTATGTTAAAAATTATGTTTTTTTTCAACATAATATAGTTTTTAGAACACTATATTTTGAAAATTATAGTGATAATCAAATACTAAATTTATCATAACTAAATGGGTCTTTTACTCAAACTAAAACACCTATCACCAAGTTTAATATTTGTTTATTTCTAACTGGACCGGAATTCAAAAACACAGCTGAAGTTAAAATTAATTTATGTCTTGTCTAAATTTTTGATTCTATTTAATTCCTTATTATTTTTTATTTTGTAAGTTTATTTTATCAATATAATACTACCATATGATTGCCATACATCCCAGTTTTTAACCAAGTATCCCGGTGTCCTGAGAAAGTATTTCAGGACAGCGATTTGTCCTAGTTTAAACATTTTACTCAATAAAATACTGATTTTTAATTATGAGAAAACATTATTTTCCTACTTCCTACACATGACAAAATGCAAGATTATACGCACGACAATCATAGGTATTTTATTATAAAAACTTATTTTTGACTTTATAGGTCAATTACTATGATAATCATAAATTTAATAGTTTTTATTATTTAAACTAAGAATATGAATTATTATTATATTATATTGTTTGTATACATAATTCATTAAAAAATATATATTTATATATATAATGACAAAAAAAAGTAAACATTATTTTATTATTATTTATTATTTACATAAATATTTTTTTCTTTCATATGGCGATATATATAACATTTATCCATTCAAAATGTCCCGGGTTTGGAAAAATATTATCTGGTGACCCTATACTATCATACTATAAAATATTCATCATATTTTATAAACTTTTTTGCTTCAAATATAATTTTGAAGCTATTAAGATCAAAAAAAAAAAAAAAAATTTGTATATCAAAAAATATTTAATTAACTAATTATAACTATTACTAAATGAGAGATAATTGAATTATAACTATCATAAGCCAATTTTCCCTTTCTCAATTCACCATTGAATACACAATAGTTTATTATAATCAAATTGTTTCATACCACAGGTGATGTCTTGTGAATATTCAGTTTACCACCAATTAATAAACGCACTTCTGCTAAAAATCTTGTATTAGTTTTCAATACTTGAGGTGGTTGTGTTGTAATAACAAAAGTGCTAAATAATAAATAATAATTATAAATAATAATTTAAAAACTTGTTAACATTTTTATACCTTGTCACTAATGATGAAAGATACTGCGTAGTCATATTGAGCAGTGTATTAATAATTTCACAAGATGGTGGTAATTCAAAATAACGACTTAAATTCATACTAAATCTATTAGCTTCTTTAATTTGTGAACGAGTTATCCATATTAAATCACACAGTTTCTCACACCTAATAAAAATACCTATTATCAACTTAATTCAATTTAACAGAAAGATAGTTATGAGTATCTACCAAGTTTGTATAACATCTATATCCTTCATGTATTTATATCCATTACCAGCTAACTGTTGTTGACGTTTCCACTGAATTAACGAATTATCAATAATATAATTTTGTACAGGACTGATCAAGTTTGTTATTTCATTAAGCTTGTTAATGTAAACACAAATAGAATTATTAAGACTTAAAGATTTAGCTTTTAATTGTCTTTCATGTAATTCTTTCTCTTGAATTAATTTACACTCAATTTCTGGTAATACTGAAGAGCTGTTCATTCTCTGAATTTTGGCGTTTTGCACACGTTCTAAAGTATACAAGTATTTAATATTCAAAATAAACTAAGCACCTTCACATTAATTATAATTAATTATTTTAAATCATTTTCGAGACTTACGGGTGTACTTAGAACATTCCGAGTATAGAACATTAAACGAATCAATGTCTGATTGAATTTTCATGCGAATCTCATTAGAACGCTCGGCATGGTTACTGATCAATTCCATCTGTTGCATGATCCCATTGTTTTCCATTTCTTGAGATTTTCCGTTAACCTCCATTAGTGTTTAGATAAAGGTATTTAATAATATAACAGTAATAATAGGATGAAGGATTAAAACCAAAACTTCGTTCACAAGATTTTATAAGAGCGAAATTCTTTTCTCCACAAATGTTAATAATATTATCAATCAAATTATATTTTTATAATTGTATTTTAGTATTAATAGACGACGCCAAGACGGATCGCGCACTTGTTATTAATAATAATTTAATATAACTATTATTTAATTACGGCAGTGCATGTAAGAACATGACACGATACCAATAAAACTGCAGTTACTACAAAACAGGTACCGATAAACTTATTTGGCAACGATATGAAAAACAAGAAACGTTACCAACACCAATTACGATCTATAATTATATCAAAATTGTTTATAAAGTTTCTATACAGTGTTCCTACAATACAAACATACAAACTTCAGTATTCATGGCACAAACGCCACAAACCATTGAACAATTTGAATAAAATGATTAAATAAACACATCTTACATAAAAACTAGAAAATAAAATAACCGAAAATTAAAATTGGATGTGTTTTTCGAAGTTAGCAACTATTAGAATTCAGATTTTTAAAATCTAAATGATGAATTTTTAAAACGAATGCATTCATATTCACATGTATCATTACCCTTATTCCGTATTCGTCATTTAAGCTAAGTTAGTATTAAAATTGAGAATTATAATATTTTATAGATAAATGCATTTCAATTGTTTAAAAGACATGATTATTTTCTTATAAATACAATATTAATAATACCTACATAATAATTATTTTAGACACACAGTACTAAGTCTTATTGGTTTATATTAAATAACACAAAGATTAGATAAATACATAAGAGGACATAAATAATTAGTAATTACAACATTATTACTGCTTACTAAATAATTAATCCAGAATCCTTATAATATTGTGTGTTTATGTGTAAACTAAACAGTAATACCTAATCAATTTGGTATAATTAGGAAAACATTTGAAACCTCAGCCATTCTCTGGTAACTTATTTATAATGTTGACCACGTACCTACTAATAGTGTTTAGTTATTTAGTAATTACTAATTTATCACAAATTTAAAGTATCTTTCTGAATGAATTAATTTTTTTGATATCAGTACATCACCAACACAAAGATTGGTTGTAAACCAGTTATTTATACGTATTGAGTATTGAAACTTTTTTAGTTTAAATCTACAGACCTGAGAAATGATTATATGTAAATTGGTTCAATGTGTGTTTTTATATTAATTTACTTTTAATTTTATGCTTACATTTTCAACTTTAAGGGTGGTTTCTGGAAAATTAGTTAAAACAATGATATTATGTTTGGTCAAAATTAAAATTATTATAATTAATTTATTAGCATTTTTTAAAGTGATATAATATAAAAATGAGTTAGCAAGTAGATTCCATTCTGCTGCATATAACTATATAAGGCATTAAGTATAGGTATCTGTTATACATTTTTATTAATTTGAATTCTTTACTAAATAATTGTTCACGAAAAATAATTTTGAGTGGAAATCATTTATGAGCCTAAGCCCTAAATCACTACAAATACGTATAATATTCTGTGATATATTTTTTTGATAATGCTTTTAATTACCAATTTAGCTTACTAATTTTTCTGAAAATATTGCAACTATTATAGGTACCTATTATTAAATAGTATTTAATTATTATACTATTTATACCATAGACATAATAATATATTATTATATATAATTATTATGTCTACAATTTAAAGTATAATTGTATATGTATATATACTATATTATACCAACTTTTATAACATTTTTCTGTAAATACCATATAACAGTATAAATAAGTTCATAATATGAATAGATAATATTTTAAAATAAATAAAAAATGTCAATAATAATATGATAAAAGTAAAAGTTTTAATTCCGTACGAATTATGTTTTTGATTTCTAACAAATTAATTAATATAGTATATTAATATAAGTTTATATATATTATGAATATATTGTTTAGATAAGAAAGTTTTTCAAATTTGAATTTCTTCAAATACATAAAAATAAAATTGTATGTACGTATTTTTAATAATTTTGTATATTAGATATGCGTATTATGTATGTGTGAGATCCGCCAAATATATTTAAAATATAATTAATAGGAAAAATCGAAAAAAAAAGAATCGAAAATTTTAATTGTCTATAAAAAGCACAAAAATTAAAGTATTTTGAAAATTGAATCATACACTTAGAAAATTATTGTAGAAACATTTAGTTAAATATCAAGTTTCTATGTTAACCAACACGTTTTTGAATTTTAACAAAGTAAAGAAACCATTTTTTTCAATAACTGATTTACTTTAAAAATTCTTGTTTTTCTTTAATATTTTTATTTTCACTTTTATTAAAAAAAAGTTCTAAAAATTGTTTATACTTTAACTCCTCAAAGTACCAATTTAAATACAATTTTCTACTAGACACCATCCCAAAGTTGTAAATTAAAGCATTTTTGTTACCCAAAAGATGATAATAGATAGAAAAAAAAGACATTAGGTATTGTAAATTTGTAAAATCAATTCGTTAAGTCTGGCTCTAACTAAAATCTAAAATAAATTGATTTCTTATTAAATTCTTAACATTTTAAATTTTCTATTTTTATTAAAAAAATTTTTTAATAAAACTGATTCTTCTTTAAATAAAAAAAGCTTTAAATTGTATATAATAAGGTTTCTCATAAGTAGAGCCTGGATGTTAATGCACTAAAAACAATCGAAAATGTCCTTAAAAAATAACTTAGAAATTATTTGTTTAACACTATTATTTATATCAAAATTAACGAAATAATCATCATCATGTTGTAGCACAAGCTAATTAATTTTATTATTTGTTATTTGCCCGGTTTCGGGCGACAATATAAATAAAATAAAGATGTTATCGAAATTATTGAACAATTTGTAGACGATAGGTATGGAAAAACTTGAAAAACATATTAAATATACTTAATGTCCATGTATATCTAAAGATACAATTATTATTATTTAATACTATGGTAATACAGGCTATAAATATAAAAGAGTTAAGATAAATCATAATAAACTTTAGAACAAAACAGCTAGTAACAATTATTAATTGAAGATATTTTTCTTGATAGTAATTTGTTTTATCTAAACAATCAATTCAAAATTGGATTTGTGCAAACCCAGAATGCATTTTTCCTAGCACTGGAATTTAGAATTAATTTCATAAGAGAAAGATAGTCGAATACATGAACTGTTTACATTATTCAATATATTTGTTTAATTAACTAAAGTAACTATTAAAGGCCCTTACACACTAGGCGAATAGTTCGCGGGCGGACGCAGTTTTAAATTGCCGAGAACATTCGCCTAAACTTAAGCATGTGCGATCGATGGCGTATTTTATTCGCTCGCTTTACATAGTGTGAATGGTCTATTTTAATACAAGCTGTTTAATTTTAAGCGAACGTTCGCGGCGATTTAAAATCGCGTCAGTGCGCGAACTATTTGCCTAGTGTCTAAGGGCTTTCAAATTGAAAGGGTCAAAGTTTTTATTTACAAGACCTTAAAAATCTTAAGATAGCTTCATGTTTGGTGAATGGTGAATCATGAAATGAGCCAGTCATTTTGTCACATAAATATTTGAAATTACGGTGAAATTTAGGGAACAATAAATAATTTTTCCGGTGTATTGTATAGTCAATTTGTAGATGGAAATTTAAAAATTATTTATTAATTATAGATGAATTACCCGGCTTCGCACGTGTGTATTTTTGTCGATATAAATTTCTTGGAATAATTCATATCTACACCTCGTACGGCCGGAATGTGTATAAGTTGCAGGTAGCTGGAAACACGCGCAACCGGATAGGCTAATTAACGAATAATTGAAATTATTAATTAGTCTACTTAAATCATAGACCTTATACTCAATAATTTTTAAAATTATTTTAAAACATTTTTTAAAATCCTTTCTTATTGCACGGAAAAAGTATTAGAGGAACCACGTACTATTCCTAATTTTAAGTTCGTAAATTGATTAGTTTTCGAAATACAGCGATTAGTGAGTGAGGTATTTGGATTTTATATGAATTGATAGATTTATATGACATGCATAGATTATTATTATTATCACATGTTATGAAAAAGTAAATACACGTACATATACATATTCATATAATATTAATGGTATCATTTTATAGTTATATATATAATTTAGATATTTAAGCTATAAGTAAAATTTAATATTTGAATATACATTTATGGTTTGTATTTGTCTAACATTGACCCTTATCCCCAAATTAAAATAATAATTGTATTATGCCGGTTGTCGGGATGTTGAAACGAGAGTAAAATACTATCAAAATACTAATAGTCATTATTCATTAGAAACAAAGCGGATGACAAATAAATAATTTATATTGTTTCTCTGATCTTAAATCCACAGTCTTATAAAATATTTAAATAAAGTATAATAAAATATTATTTCATTATACATATTATGATTTATGAGACATTATTAAATTTAAATTTACCGCTTTTTTTTTATACAATGTGATAAAAAAAGAGAAAGGGTTCATTGATTAAAAACGCACAGTTGGCATAACTGAATGTTTGATAAGCGGCATAAACAAATCATGCGGATTTCGTTACTGATCCGGCGGTCGCGTTCATTTCGTATCCCTTTAATCTGTATTGTGTGTTATAATACTTCATACTTATTTTTTGATTATACATGCGTGGTGCGTTTAAACGTTTAGAAACGTTTTAATTTTGTACAATATTTATTATTATTCAACTATGAATTTTTTGCTTGATGATTAAATATAAATTATAACTTCTAGAGGATTAAAAGAAAGTAGTAAATCATGGCTGACGCAGCTGCCCGTCAGCTTCAGTATGAGTACAAAGCGGTAAGAAAAAAATTGGCAACATTAACGTTAAAATATACACTATTTTTCAGCTTACATTAAATTGTTTATTATTGATTCTAGAACTCTAATCTTGTACTACAAGCTGATGTGCGACTGATTGATCGACGTAATCGTGATGAGGCCACAGGTGAAGTATGTTCATTGGTTGGAAAATTGGAAGGTACAAAGATGGGTGATCGTTTTCAAAGAACTAAACCTGTTAAAGCAGAAGAAAGAAAAGCTAAGTTAGTACAGTTTTTATCAAATTTTATTGTACACTAATTATTTTTTGTTTTGTATTACGTAGGAGACAAAAACGTGATGAAGCACAATATGACTTTGCT